CAAACATCTTACCAGAATTCTTAGAAAAAGAGTCAACAACTGTTTTTCAACTGTTTCAAGAAGCCAAATTTTGTCAAATTCATGTTGTAGTATTTCTAATGTTATTTCATTTTCAATCTTTATTAGATTTTATTATAGTATTTTGTCCAAAATTTGACTCCGGTAACGGTCCTTCGCCAATTGGGTACTGGACACAGTTTTTCAACCCTTTTCATAAAAATTAAGAGATAATTTAAGTTAGTGACTTATTTGGAATGTTTATTTTAACCTCAGACTCAGTTTATCTCGGTTTAGTTGGTTTTTCCAGGCCGGCGGCACTGACAAAGATCATGGATATTTTTTTTTCATAAATTTTTAAAGCTTATATATGTTCATCATTTATTAATTTTGATGGTTGTATTACACTTTTTATTATTTTTTAAAAAAAATAAGGAGGTATGATTGCCATTGAGACAACTGTCCGACATAGTCCAAATGAAGTCTTTTTATTCGTAATAAATCTGGTGTTATCTAGTTTCTGTTAATTGTTATATCATATTATTGAGTTTTATTTGAAAAGTGTCAATAAGATCTACAATGAATTCTCTCCATATATGTAATACACATTCCATTCATAGAATGTATTTGCAGGTATTCGTAGGCATAGGAAGAAATTCATAAACATTTATAAGCTGAAAAGATAAAAATCTGTACGAATTAACACGTATTTATCGTACAATCTTCGCTTCGCAAACATTCGAAACTAAATTCATTACACCCTTATATATAAAGGTAAGAAGATGTGTATGATTGCCAATGAGACAACTCTCCACCAGAAACCAAATGACGTAGAAGTTAGCAACTAAAGGTCACCGTACGGCTTTGTACAATGAGCAAAACACATACCGCATAGCAAGCTATACAAAGCCCCGAAATAACAAATATAAAACAATACAAACGAGAAAAATAACGGCCTGATTTATGTACAAAACAATAAATGATAAACTGAAATAAAAGACAAACACTGAATCACTATGTGTGTGCAGGCTCCTGACTTGGGAAATGCACAAATAGAATGTGGCGGGGCTAACATGTTTGCGGACGCTCAACCCTCCCTTAACCTTGGACAGTGGTGTTACAGCAAAACATAAAACCAAACTATAAAAATCAGTGTAAAAGGCCCTAATTCATCAGATCGATACAAAGCACAAAAACATCAAACAAAAAACACTAAAGACACAAAGTACACTTCTGAGAGTATTCGCTGTTACTGAAACGCTGGAGAGAAATATTTCATTTTCAATATGGTATATATCTGTGGGTCTAGGAGACTCAAAGAGTATTTTAAAACTCGTTCAAAATGTATTAATGATGACAAGGAAAAGCATGGCTGTTTTAAGTGATATAATGGATCAAATGATCGGAATTTATTACTTCATATGAAAAAACTGAACAAATTTTTGCTACTATATTCAAAATAAAATTTTCGACATATTAGTTATGAATTATGTATATATTTACCTCTTTTTCTTTAAAATGAATGCGCGCACAAATATAATTAATATTACGCTAAAAAAAACTCATCAAAGATACCAGAGTTATTATTATGGTACGCCAGACGGCGGTTCACCTACATACAGCTCATTAACGGCATTGGAATCTACACAGATAAAAGCTTTAATCAAAAGCGTAGTTGACAAGAACTCCAGACAAAAAAAATAAATATGGCTAAGGTCATCAGTATGTCTTGGGGGCAGAAAATCTTTATTCATTTAATAATTTATCATTCAGTTAAACAGTAAATAAACAGATAAAAATCGTATCAATGATTTTTCATTGACCTATTTTCTTGCCCGTTTAAATATGTCAATAGTCTTTTAACCGCAAGTGTTTACTTGTTTTACATAAATTTGTTAATTGAACTCTTTCTTAAAATATGTTTTATTGTATTGTATTGTATCGCATTGTGTTGTATTTAATTGTATTGTTTGTTTGTATTGCTTTGACCCTTATGGGTGTAATTTTGCAATAAAGATTATTATTAATAAAAAATTCAATTATAAAATTTAATTATTTTCTAATTGGGTAATCTATCTTTGTTGCGCAAGTTGGTGCAGTAATCATTTTATCCCATAACCTCTAGTATTTACTGTATAAAACTGATATAAAAAATACTTTAATAAAAGAGAGAATACAAAAAGGAAAAATAAAAAATCGTTAATCTGATAAAAACAGACAACAACATAATTAAAAAGAAAAACGACGAAAAGACAAACAAAAATAACACTGTATTACATAGAAAACTAAAGATTGAGCAATAATAACCCCATTAAGAACCGGAGTTGAAGTCATGTGCTCTGGGAAGGTAGGCAGTTCCTGTTCAACTAGTCGCGCCCGTCGTGATGCTTGTGAAAGTAGAATTTGGCGGTGACAAGTCGCATACGGTAATGTCATAATCGAGGAAATTGTAATAGACATTCAGACCAGATCAGACCAATATACCATTATACTTATAAACTATGCAAAAACAAAATAACACATTTTACAACATTTACTCGACTTAGTTCTGTTGAACTTGTCGCTGCCGTGTGAATGAAAAGAATAAAATCTACCACATTTATATTCTACATTCATGTGGACAACATACAATATAAGAAGATAGGAAAAGAGAGGCGGCAGATACCTCCCGAGTCGAAAACGAATTGAAAATGTCATCGCAAAAAACTAAAATTTACCAATAGACAACAAAGTCTACAAAACACAAAATAGAAAACTAAAGACTGAGCAACATGAACCCCGCCAAAACCGGAGTGGTCTCAGGTCCTCCGGGTGGATAAGCAGATCCTGCTCCACATTTGGCGCCCGACGTGAAAATAGACAAACAGTTGCTTGATTATGTACATTTTAGAGTCAAGTCTTTTAAATTTTTATTCTAGAATCTTTTAAACTCTGTCATTAGGGATAAATGACCCCCCCCCCCCAAAAAAAAACAAAACAAAAAAAAACAAAACCATTGAATAAAATAAATTAAAATAAATGGGGATGATGCCCCCGCTTGCATTATAAAGGGACATAACTCAAGAACTGTAAAAGTGACGTTACTAAAATTTGTACTTGATCTGAGTTTTGTGGTAATTAGCATTGTTTATAAGTTTCATAACATTTAGTTGAGGCAAACTTAAGTTAGAGAACGGAAACGAAAAATTAAGCAATTTTTCCATTTGTAAAGGGGCTATCTTTAGAACAGTAACAGTGAAGCCACCAAAATTCAAACTTGATCTGTGTTTTGTGGTAATACGCATTGTGTATAGGTTTCCTTTCATATAGTTGAGGCATACTAAAGTTAGAGAACGGAAACCAATTTTGGGACGTACGGATGTACGTACGGAAGGACGGACGGACGGACGGATGTACAGATGGACAAGGGTAAAACTTAATGCCCCCTCCGCCACGGCGGGGGCATAAAAATAACACTGAAACTTATTTCAGAGCTCACGATACCTAAAATTAGACAAAGTATCTATAACATCTTTATGCATAAACTTCATGATACAGGTGTACTAGAGGACATAACGAGACAGGAAAGGTCGACAAAACATAAACGAATAGTCTGGTATAACTGACGTTTGGTATTATGGAAGTATTTCACCACTTTCTATAAGAACATTGACAATTTCTTTTGCACTTGGACTTTACATAAGAAAGCAGACCAGTACATTTATTCATACTTGAATTATTTACATAAAATTATGGTATATACTTTGACCTAAAAGCAGAAATATCAGCATTTTTACAGGTAAACAATACATGAAACTCATCACCTATTCCCTCATTACATAGAATACATAATCTATTTTCTCGCGGAGTCCCTACCAATTTCTCAGTCTCACTAGGTAACTTCAAGTTCGAGCATCGAAGTTTAAAAATATAATATCTGTTCCAGGGTAATAATATCGAGCTCCGCGAATAACAACACCCCTTTTTATTCCTAATTATTTCATTTTTTTAACAAAATAAACTTTTTATTAAGGTTAGTGAACTGTGCATGATCATTAATATAAAACTAGTATATTGATTTGAAAATTCGTCTTATTCATGATTCGAAATTTGGTACTTCTACTCATTCTCTGTAAATGATTGTAATAAATTTTCTATACATTTTAGAAAGAGCACCTTGTCGAGCCTAAGCTTTGGACGTCCAACCCATTATTACAAAACTAAACCTTCACGGTACATCAACAGAAAATAAAAATAAAAATCTAAGCAGAAATCAAAATGTCAAAACGTGACGTTATTATACCGTCCTGTTTTCAATCGGTTAAACTCGGGTGACTCCGCTTCTCTCCATTTATCATAGATAGATGTACGGAATCAGCCGAGTTGTGACGAATGGTCCTGTTTTCTGAAGTTTTGTCTATATTTGGCCCGATAGATGACATATGACAGTTAACTATAGGAAAACACCTTTCCGTTAAGTTACAGAACATGTAAAATAATAAAAAGAAATATACAGATGATGACACAGTGTAATGTCGTTCTAACATGAAATTAAAGTAACTATGAAAAAGAGATACTCAAAAGCATCATCAGCCTAATTTTCAAATATGTCCAGTTTAAATAAAAAAAAAGTATTAATACTACGTGTTAAATCCAAATAATAGATATACTTTAAACTGACTGTATTGTATACAAATGAAAGTGCCACGAGAATCACGTGATTGTTAAATGTGTGTTAGTTCCTGTTTTCGTACATGTAATGTTTTTCATAATTGTATTATAATAACTGTATAGATATTTCGTTTATTCATGTATGTATGTATATTATCCTCTAGTACACTGTTGTGTCTGAGGATAATAAAGCTTTGAATCTTGAATCTTGAATAATTATACATAATGATGTTCAATATTTTCATTTAAGATCCTGAGCCCGAAACCTCAAATTGAAAGCGGAGTTCATGATGCCTGCTTTTCTATAATTTGTTATTTTTTATCATTTTTCGGTCTGATCGTTAGACTCTTACCTATGTTATAAACAATCTGAATTCTTCCAAGAAATGATATCCCGAATCACATACAAAAGGAAGAAATTTATGAACGAGGAAGGAGTTACAAATAAACCCCGTGATAATTTTTTTTATTTTGATATTGTTAGTGAAATAAATAAAACGGAAATCGTCATTCACCAGACAATATAGAAATTTTATACGGAAATTGTTCCTTCATCAGGCAATATGTATTACGGAAATAGATCCTTCATGGGGCACATTCGTGGAAGGAAATCTTACTCTTAATACAAAACATGAAAATTTCAACTTTCCAAAAATGTGTGACTGCTTTTATTATTATCCATTATCCTTTATTTCAAACCTTATTGAAAATCTACTGATTATATTCATTATTTTTTTATGAAAAAAATCGGATGAAAAATAATAGTTCTTATCAATACTTAATTCTTTCGAGATCTTGCAAAAAGCAAAAAAATGAACATTTACAGATAGTGTTCAATTTTTCTGTCTGGCAATTAAAACCATAATTTGTTTTAAAACGAGAACGAACGAGAACATTCGTCAAAAGAAAGATGTCCGAACGGACGAACGGAAAAAACTAAACAAAAATAGTCCAATTAAAAAAAATCCAGTATTAAAATACTAGTATATGAATAAATGTAATTAAACCTCCTTACCTATGTAATAGTATTTATTCACTTATCACATAGTTCTGTTACGTGTCTACTATGTTGTATCCTGATAAAAATGAAGTCATTTGATAGCGAAACCACATCCGTTTTGTAGATTAAAAGTGACAAATTCAATACCGATATCAATTTCTAAATACTGTTACTGTGGTTTCAATGCTATTTCGATTATTCTTGCACTTCGTGGTATAGTAGTCTGGGCAAAGGGATGACAAAAAAGTTGTACAGAATAAGGTGGTGAGATTCATCCTAGGTCTGGGTCCAAGGACTAGAATTACATGTGATATTTCAGATAAAGTTAATATGCTATGTGTAAAAGATAGAGTTAGTCAACTTAGATTAAACCATGTATTCAATATATATCATGGACATGCTCCAGAGTATTTATGCATGTGAACATTTTGACTTGAATAATCATAATACCAGAAGTGCTGCACATAATAATTATTTTGTACCAAATGTTAAAAACTGTAATAAAAACAGCTTTGTCTATAATGCTATACAAGACTGGGACAATCTACCAGCCAACATAAAAAATATATCAAATAGATCTGCTTTTAAGACTGCAGTTAAAGAACAATTAAAAATAACCGGAAGAAATATAGAAACTGGAGATTTTTTATATGTTTTTTAAGAAACAATTGATCTTTCTTTTTTTTTGGTGAAAGTCAAATTTTAACATATAATTTGAAATGTTATTCTTATATATTTTCAAACAAGGGACCCCATTGTAAATAAGCTATACTATGTAAGCTTTTATGGGATACCTCAGGCTTCTTTCTAAGCACTGTTTTTAAAATATATTATGATACTATTTTAAAAGTATATATATATATATATATATATTATTTGTCTTGTTTTGTCTTGTGAATTTATATATATGTGCTTGAATTTGCCTGAATAAAACTATACTATACTATACCTTCTGAACTAGCACTTTAAAATTTAAATCTGGCTCAGCGTGTCGGTTAGTACACATTAAGCAAGGGTTATATTCATATTACATTAACATGTTCTCGACGTTTTCAAATTTTAGATTATTTACTAACTTTGAGCCTTACGGCTCATCAGTGTATTAAAATACAGTATATATACATATGGCATATTACAAAGAGAACAACTCGGACCAATCTTAAGACAACTCGGACCACTCTTGTAGACAACTCGGACCACTTTTAAAGACAATTCGGACCAGTTAAAAAGACAATTTGGACCACGTCTGGTGGCAACACAGAAATGTTTGAAAGAGGGTCGATATGGAGGTACCTTCACGACGAATAACAACGTTAAAAATCTTGCCACTGAATAACGTTAACGGTATTTTTGTTTCCTGTTTTGACGTTACCGATACATATTGGAGCGAGACGATAAAAATAACATTGTGAAATAGTTTCGATGTAACCATTTGAAAAAGATACAGTGAAAGATAGTACCAAACCGCCCTTTAGGTCCTAATAATAGGCACACATAAGGTAATCACAGAGAACAATGTTACATCTCATATAGAAACAGTAGAGAGGTGTGTTCATCAGCTGGGTCATCTCATTTAAACATAAAAATATTATGCAATTAACCAACCTCTTTTTGATGAGATTTTTAACTTTTAAGGTCGCGCTTAACTCATGTAATAACATTCTGGATTAATGACGCGATTTTATCACATGAAAGTACATAATTTAACTTTGCTGTAAAGAATACAGTCGACAAAGGAGGATGGAAAAAGGTTTGATAAGAGCAATTAAAATAGTTGTCTCTGTAATTGCAAAATAGTCCTATTTGATATTTTTTTGTTTATTTCAACTGACTTATTGACAAAGTAAAACGGAAAATATTAAGACAGTTTTTTTCATTTAATTCTCACATTATATTCTGATCAACACAGATTTTTGATATACATGTAGTAAAAAACGCGTTGGTGATTTTTTTTTAATATCAGCTAATGAAATATATATATATATAAACTCGTTATAAATGATGTGTCATGGGTTTGATTGAGATTCGGTTCCAATTGATATCCATGTTCATTCAAATATATATACAAGGAATGAGGATTTAGGTCAAGAATGATTTAATATAAATTTATTTGATGACTACTCTATTGCTAAAGAAATAAAAAAATGGCTTGACTCACATTAAATCTAAAATTGGGTTCACAGACATCCGTGTACTTTAAAAGACTACAACCTAACGGATTAAGGTAGCTAAGGTGTCTAAAAGCTCGACGATAAATTTTTCTTAAACTTCTGTAAAAGACTTCAGGGTCTATGTATTTTCAAATTTCAATACCATTGAAAAACTGGGGGTCACTGACCTTGTTTTTTCGTTAGAATACATTGAAGTTAACGAAGTCACAGTTATTTTATGTGGGTTATGTAAGGGAAACTTAATTCTATTTTGGGAAACATTAAACTATAGAATCTTTTCATAAATTCTTCCAAAATATCAAATAAAAATAGGGGGTCACGGGCCTTGTTTTCTTGAAAAATAAAAAAATCACAAATTGTCCTAGCAACTTCAATATAATTATCTGCCTTTGATTTTAAAAGGATTTTTTCTTAAAACTTTAATTGCTCAGAAAAAGACACCAGATCATCCTTTCATAGAATTTTTAACAGAAGTTTAAGAAAACTCTATCGTCGAACATGTAGACACCCTTTATACAAGGTTCTGGATGGGTTACAAAAAAAAAAGAATAATGGTCAAATAAATCAAAGTACTGAAGTACTGAACATCGGATGACCGCAAGTTCTGGTGCTTGTCTCAGAAAAAAAATCACATCTCTATACCTGAAATGTTGCACAGATATATTTTTTTCTGAGACAAGTTCCTGTGTGGATGATGAATTAATGACATGGAATTCAATATCATTCTATTCTACTATTCTAATGATAGTGCAGTGCAAGTGCATGGTGGACACTCTTCTGTAATAATTCGTTTTTCTAATAGATTGGATTTGAGTAGCTTTCATATTTTCCCGCGTTTGTTGCAAAACGTTCTTGAGATATTCTTCCGCGTGCGTTAACACAAATTTTCGATATTCTTGATTTGTTATTGATATATATATTTCTCACGACAAAACATTTGCATATCATTTATCTATGTTCTTAAAAATTATGTTCATGAATATTAATTGATGAAATTAATATATAACAAGCGATAAGGAATGTTATTTTGCACTCGATAATATCCGCGTATTCATACGAAATACGTTCGGTTATCAGTCAAAAACGCAAGTCACGTGGGTAGAAATGACTGCGGCAACACAACACCGGAATGCCCTCACGGTCATTCGCTGTAAAAATCAGAAATAGATAAAGATAGTCAAATGAAGTAAAGAACAGAGAGTAATAGGGTGCTTAAGTATAAAGAATATCGGGCAAAATAAAATAAAGAGAAAAATGGTCTAAAAATAAAGAATATAGAAATACAGATTCTATTTTAATTTTTAAGATTGCTCCTAATTCGTGGGCAGCAATACGAGAAGGTTTGGGTTGTCATTTCATTAATTTTTCATTTTTTAGGTTCCCCCACCATATTATATATAAAAAAATAGGAAGATGTGGTATGATTGCGAATTAGACAACTCTCCACCAGAGACCAAATGACATAGAAGTTAACAACTATAGGTCACCGTACGGACTTCAACAATAAGCAAAACCCATACCGCATGTAGTCAGCTATAAAACGCCCCGAAATGACAAAGGTAAAACAATTCAAACGAGAAAACTAACGGACTTGAGTATTTTTTATTCTTCAAACCCCATTCATACCCTCTTATGAACCCTACCAAAAATCGGGTTGAACTACATACGTCCTCATTTTAAGAAAATTCCGTTCCAAAATAACATTATTATGTGTTTACTTTGTTATCTAAGTCCTTCATGTTTCGATTATAAGTTAACACAGTTATATACATGTATATATAACAACCAATGTATAATCAACATAGCATATCAAAAAGGATGACTTTCCCAAAGTATTTATTTCACGCGTAGGGTTATCAGTGATAACTTCTTTACTTTTGTATACTTTTGTATACCTTTGTACGTTAGTTTATGATAGTTGATAACCGATTAACTCCAAATGTGTGTCAAATATGTAGGGTTAATTTCTCGATGGGTTTTTATACCTTTTCAATCATTTTTCTGAACCAGGTTATTTTCACAAAGATTAATCTTGAATCTTTACTAACTTTCAAAGTATCGAGTCTTAAGTGTGCTCTTTGTTTTTTTTTCATATTTCGAACCATGTCGTTATACTGTAAATTCAGAAAATTTTGTCGTATATATGGTGATTATTGCACAATGGACAACAATACGAGTTATATTTTTTGCGAAATCTATTCCGTCGCAATTTTCGCAAAAATAAAAACATCGGAAACATTTCAGTCATTCATAGCTGGGACATAATATGATAGTCCCAGTTCATAGTAGGCACTGGTCACGATTACGTTGAAACGTAACAATAACACAAATTTTATTGTTACGTTGTCCAGTTTAGTAGTACCAAAGGCGAAGAATATATCGATGTTTAGAAGAAAAGTATTCACTTCTACGTATTCAACTGCACACCTACCCTTATCAATGTCATTATACTTTGAAAAATGGACAAAGTTATTCCCATTACCAAATTTTCTTTGAGTGAAAAATAAAAACTTACGATGCGTTTGAATACAAAAAAAAAAAAAAAAAAAAAGATTCAAATTTTATACAGTTTTATAAATGTAGTTCGCGAATAATTGATACATCAAAAGCAAAGTTTGAAAGCAGTGTTCTAAAATATTGTGAACTTGTGTATGTATGTATGCATCCATGGAGGACGTAGTTTCGTTTCAAAATCAGATTGAGTACGTCCAAACCAAAGCTAGTTTTTTTCTTCCTATATAGATAGCAATTGGGCATAAAATCAATACGAATGGTATAACTTCAAAAAAGGGAATTGCAGAGTGGAACTGTTAAGTCTGCAAAACCAACGTGCACGCTACCAAAATTGCGTCGGACTAAAACATGCACCCAAAAGCACATATTAGGTGTACAGAAGCTGCCGTTGTAAATAATCTGTATGCGATATTGTATAATTGAATTGTTTACGAATAAAAGTTTTCAAGTTGTATTTTAAAATATTACATACATTTGACATACTATATATATTACTATTCCCAGTATATATTGAAATGCAATTTAATGTAAAAACAACACAACGTCACCGTAGACACAAATATTATTATTACGTTCGTAATTAATCGGTTCCTAACCCAACCTAGCATTCCGGCAATTAGTGTCCAATGTAACAATAACTTTTTTTTGTTATTGTTACGTTTTCAGCGTTATCTTAAACAGTCTTAATAGTAACTGTTTGTGTACGTAGTGATCAAAATTACAATTTTTGTAGATTCAGTTGTTTTGAGCAATTTTCTCGGAATAAATTTGAATTACAGTCCCACCCAAAAATACAAACTTGTCCCGAAAGTATGGTACTACTATTTGATTTTTATGGGGGGGTCTAGGGTTAAATTTAAAAAAAAAAGGCAGGACAGGAGTTTTGAGTAAAAAAAAAGCAGGATGAGCAACTTTGCAAAAAAAAAGGCAGGATGACAATTTTTATGTAAAAGAAGTCAGGATAAACTAATAAAAAAAAGGCAGGACCGAATAGAGTAAAAAATAAAAAGGCACAACAGAGATTTAAAAAAAAAAGCAGGACAAAATTTTCATCCTAGCCCCCCATAAAAATCAAATTGTAGCTCCCTAAGTCAATGTTTGTACGAAATGAGATGTGGTGTATACGACAATAAGACAGCCATCACAGACGTTACAAAAAAAATTAAAATGTTACATATTACAAAACATATGATCACATATGAGTTAATAGAAATAAGAAGATGTGGTATGAGTGCCAATGAAACAACTCTCAATCCAAGTCACAATGTGTAAAAAGTAAACAATTATAGGTCAAAGTACGGCCTTCAACACGGAGCCTTGGCTCACACCGAACAGCGAGCTATAAAGGGCCCCAAAATGACTAGTGTAAAACAATTCAAACAGGAAAACCAACGGACTAATCTATATAAAAAACGAGAAACGAGAAACACTTATGAACCACATCAACAAACGACAACCACTGAATAACAGGCTCCTGACTAAGGACAGGTGCATAAAAAGTATATTATTATAACTTTTTTTTATATTCAATCTCACAAGGTTTCATCATCTTTCCGATAATAAATGTGTTATTTAAATTTCAAAACTCACATCAGGTGTGCACTTTCTAAACAGCAAGCATTGACACTTTTTGATAGTGATTAAAAGTCAAAGAGGTACAACTCTCCTATCATAGTCAAATAAGATTTGTCAGATGTTTATTTTGCATTAATCTCCAATGATCGAATGACTTCAACTAAGGGAGCTACCATTTGATTTTTATGGGGGGGGGGGGGGGGGGGGGGGGGGGGGGGGGGGGGGGGGGGGGGCTAGGATGAAATTTGAAAAAAAGGCAGGACAGGAGTTTGAGTTAAAAAAAAAGTCAGGATGAGCAGCTTGAACAGTGAGGTGCTAAAATATAAAGAATGGAGAACAATGAGGTGCTAAAATATAAAGAATAGAGAATAATAGGCAAAAAGTATAAAGAATAGAGAGAAATGGTCTAAATATCAAAGAATACAAAAATGAAACCCCCATCCAGACCCTCACATATTGTACAAAGAAGTAGAATAAGTTGAGCAAACATATCTAACTTTTATTCTGCCCTTTTTTGCTATTTTCTTAACATCTTTTTTTTCCTTTTCCCATGTAGACATTTAATGATAATGTCAATTTCAAATACTTGCTTGGATCAAATTAACTTTAGTGGCCTCGGTGGCCGAGTGGTCTAAGTAGTTACTACTGTAATCACTAGCCAGTCAACACTGAGGTTGTGAGTTCGAACTCCGCTCGTGCGGGTGCACTCGACTCCAATCTTAATTGACTAGGATTGTCAGTTTTCCTATCGAAGGTCGGTGTTTTTCTCAGTGCACTCCGGCTTCCTCCACCATTAAAAACTGGCCGCCACAAAATAGCCCAAAAGCGGTGCTTAAAAGTGGCGTTAAAACACCAAAAATCAAAATCAAAACAAATGAACTTTTGACAGCTTGCTAGATGCGCAGCAGGTAAGGATTTATATAGTAAGATATAATTTAATTTTGGATGTAACACGTCTTATGATTGGCTGAAAGTTTTCTATCAGCTCAGACATAATTTTGTCATGTGACCGTGACGTCATAAACGTTTTTTTCATGATTTACTCCTTAAAATGGAGTTATGAATTAAATTATAAGGATTGACTGCAATATTTTTTCTGTGTATTTGAAATAACATCAAAAATGTGGTGCACTTTTTAAATAACACACTACACGGTTTATTCTGTGTGCACCACATTTTTGATGTTATTTCTTCATAGACAGAACAAATATTAGTCATTCCTTAAATATACTCACTATATAAATCCTTGATGCAGGGTAGAAACTAGGTTCAAATAACAGGTCCAGCAAGAGGTATAATTTGTGTATGCATTCAAATTCTGAAACAATGCACCATTTAAGTGTGGAGTAAGATACATGTATCTGTCAATAGGGTCCAACCACTACTGCTGGACTACCGGTCTCAGGGTACAGTCTGGTGCATAGCCAGTGCCCTGTGCTGGCATGAATTAATGTAATTGAAATAAATATGTAATTGTGATAAATCCTTGTTTGCAGCTCGATTCCTCAGACAGTGTTGAATTTTTGCCTGTTTTGGCAGTTCAGTTTAGGATCTTTTGTTGTTTGGGCTTTCAAACGTTTAAAACTTTTGGTCTGGGCCATACGTGATGAAGCTTATTCAAGAACATGTGTTTATCTTATGGTAACAAGCTTGTATTGAAAGTGTGAATAAATGGGTTTGAATCCATGTGGGATCAAACAAAAGACCGAAAATTAACACTTGGAGAGACAGCAAAGACTTGTCTGCTAAGATTCAGAATTATGTACTGTAAATTCTGATTATCGCAGGGTTTTTATTAATGCCAATAATGCAACTGGTTGCGTATCACAATAATAACTCACATTCTGATACATATATCTTAATGCAGATTTTCTAGAAATCGCAATAATAAATCTTGCATTTTTGGCCATTCTTCAAAAATTGCAATAATAAATGCAAGCAATAATTTCTGAAATTACAGTATCCAGGTATAGCGTGGCATGTCTTCCTGCAGATTATTGACTTGTGGACTCGAGCTGGTTAAAAATTTGACTCAGTCTACTACAAAGCAGGGTCCATATTCCATTATTGTTCTTGTCCTGAAATGCATGTTATATTTGCCATGAGATATTCAATACCAATTCTTTATTCTTGTTGTGCAAACAAAAAAATATCAGATGTTTTTTTACCTAATTTCTCTCAATAACTTTATAAGTTGTTTTGTACTATTGTGTTATATTCATTGACAATGCTTTTTTCAATCAGAAGTATGAATGAAAACATAGATATCAGTTACAAAGGGCTGACAAACATTGTTTCAGGGTTTTCTGATAAGCCTCTTTTTTTAGTAGAACTAATGCCAAATTTGCATATACACTCATTCTGATTTTGAATTGATTGAAGAAAATAACATCAAAACAGAAAATATTTGAAGTCTCACACCAAAGTGACTGTTTTGCTATAAAATAAAACCATTTTTCCTGCTATTTTTCAGCATCACAGCATAAAACTGCTGGAGATCAGTTAAACAAAATGTTTTGCAAACATTGGGGGAACAGGAGCAACATTGAGGTCAATTGTAGTAACATTGCAGAACTAAAGATTGGTATATTTCATTAAAATAACAATGAAAATACTTTATAAAACATTTATCTTATGAATATTCAAACATTTCAACCATAATAAACAGTTCACACATCTTTTCCAATCAAATCCATTCATTTATACATATGAAATAATAATGAAACCGCACTACCTATATTATATAGCACAAAATACACATTAAAATGATCTGAATATTATATATTTTTCTTGTTTTGATTAAGCTGTGGCAGGTGAAAGGGTTTCAATGTTGGGACTCATATTTAGGTAATTCATATTCATTTATTTTGCCGATTATTCTCTATTCTTAATTTTTTTGCCCTTTATTCCGCACATTTTGCCGATTATTCTCTATACTGAATTTTTTTGCCTTCTTTTCTGCATGTTTTGCCGATTATGCTCTATATTGTAAACCCCATCCAGACCCTCATCAATGTCAAAAAATGTTTTTAGTGTCACACTCATTTATAGGGTTATGAACAATATTCCGACAAAAATGTGAAATTCTTCTTTGCTAAAAAAAAATTATGGATAAAATATCTTGTGCTTCTTCTCTTATAAAAAAAATGTGTGTTATTTTCCCCACAATATTTCAATAACAAAGATTTTTTATATACAAATTTTATTTCATGAAATGCACAATGAATGTAATGAGCACAAACAGACAAAGAGAAATCACACGATCTCTACTTGCATGAAGAATGAGGAAACAATTAAATGTTATATATTAAATGTGATGAACAATAATTTCACTTTTTTAACATCTCAGACTGTATATTTTTAAAGCAACATGAAATTAGACTCTTCCAAAATTTTCATGTAAAAAAATTCAATTATGAAATTAAATTTCCACGTCATTCTCTGGTTTTGCTATTATGACAAAGGGAGACATGGCTGATGATATCAAACAAAAATTTCAATAGAGTGCTAGTTATGAAATTGTCATGTGACTGTCACTTTCAAAACAAAACAAAAACAGCTCCATCATGTATACATTCACATTTTCACGATGCACATCACAAATGCTTGTTTTAACCTGTAATAATTTTCTTACGCTTTACAATAAATACTACAGAAGTGGTCTTCAATATCTCTTCTTTTCACTATAATCAAACAGATATTTCTGGCTTAAGCCTGTTCATGTCAATCAGCCGAAAAAGTCATAAAAAATTTGGTTAAAGAAAATTTTGGCGAATCATACATATAACATTGTTTTCAGCTTCATTTCACCCTGTATCATAAGACTTTGTGCACACATACACCACAAATTATTACTTCTGAATAATTCTCAAAAGGTCATATTTTCTTCAGTTCAAAACAATAGGCAGTGTCATCTAACACTTATATAATTTATCAACAATAACAAACAAACAAAAATCTCTCTTACCAATAACAAATATAATATAATCTATCTTTTTAGATCCTTTCTACAATAGTATGTTTAGCAAAAGATGATTGGTTGATGTTTGCTTAATGTCCAGTGGCAAATATTTCATGCATGTTCAGGAGCTGACATATTAACATAAGGTGAATTACTAAGCTTACAATGTTTGCGAATTTAGATCAATTACAATTACATTCTCTTGCAAACAAATGCATGTAGAGTTTCTAGTTAGGTACAGGTGGATTCTGTGGACACATAAAACTGGTTAAACCAAGAACATTTTGTTCTTGTACAAAATCCAGCTATAAGGACCATATGTTGAGTATTGTCTCATCACTAAGTTTATTTTCTCAGTGATGTCAGTTATGGTCTGTAATATATATTTTCAATTCATGACACAAAATCAGCACAAGCAGACAACAAAACCATAAGCAAGAAACATATCTAAGGCTGTTATACATCTCAATGGGTTAAAATGTTAATAGAAAAATAAAAAGGAGATACATGGCAATGGTAAATATTTGCCAAACATCTGCAATTCATTATCAGCTTTTAATTGCTAGGGAACATGAACGGCAACACAAGTGAAGCAGGAACTGCTTAGCCTTTTCACAAAACTGGAGTTTACACAACTTATCAAATAATTATACACATAGTCTGATTTGTTTTTATTGTTATTATTTACAGAAAACAATGGCAGCAGCAGAAGGCAAGACAATAAATAAAAAGAGACCAGATGTTGTGCAACAGGGAACTAAACATCTGAGTACTTATGTTTATATATATTTATAAACTTTTCGTAAACATAAAAAATTCTATACAAAATAAAATCTATATAATAAGGCCATTAAAAATGAGGTTATGTTTCTCAAACTTTTTTTTTTGCTTAACTGTTTTTGGTTTTTGAAAATATAGACAACAAATAGAAATTTATAACACTTTATAAACCATACCACTAGTGAATTTCAAACTGCATAACAAGGTATGTCATTGTTGTAAATGTATCTCTTTCAGAAAGTACTACTTTGGAGGTTTTAATGACCTTGACTACCAATGAGGGTCTCGAACGATCAGATATCTCTTAACTAGGCTCTATCTGTTTCCCTCTTAGTCCATATAGATGGCATTAGATGTCTAGAAACTTATTTATTCTCTCAGGAAAAGACGCTCCTAAAAAATCATTATACAACAAATCATTCACAATATGCTTTTATTTAAGTTACAAGCCATACATGTTGATTATGTGCTTTATATAATCTATCCCCCACATTCAAAAAAGAAAATAATATGTATGATGTCAATCCCTAACAGATTTGAAGCAAGGTTTTGGTAACATAACATCGCTTTTAAATGGCCTTAGAATGTCGGACAAAAAAAAATTCTGGCAAATTTAGACTTGGTTTCCATTGTTTTAAACAACATAAAATAAAACCATAACAAACAAATTGTATATATCTCGTAACATATATTGTTTGAAGTCCTATACTTTCTTATTCTTTTTCTTCCAATTTTCATTTAAAATTTTGTTTCTCTTTTATTAAATAAAAATTAAGGATCTACTTCAATTCATACGAGTTGACCTTCATCAAATCTACCAACATCAACTTTGCTTAAAAAAAAGTTGTCATTTTTTGGATAATAATTCCATGATTAATAATTAACTATTAGAAAATATCAATAAATTATGTCAATATTAACAAATACATGAACAATAACATATTCCCTTTTTCAACAAATTTTCTTTGAACATCTGAACATTTATACTTTTGAATATTCTTTAAGAATGCATTTATCACTATTGTCTGCTAAAACAAAGACATTTAAATTATGACTGTAATTTCAAAATTCATAAGTTCTAAATATGGTTTGTGAAATCAAATAAAAAAAAAACATAATCAAACATTTGCTATGTATTTAGCACAAACATTTGCTGTTATTTTAGCACAAACATTTGCTGTGTATTTAGCACAAACATTTGCTGTATTTTTAGCACTGTATTTAGCACAAACATTTGCTGTGTATTTAGCACAAACATTTGCTGTATTTTTAGCACAAACATTTTCTGTGTATTTAGCACCAACATTTGCTGTGTATTTAGCACAAACATTTTCTGTGTATTTAGGACAAAAACTTTCTGTGTATTTAGCATGTAATACTTCTGTCAACACAATGTTGAAGTGAATAGCATAAATAATAACACATATTTATTTTTTTAAACACATTACAGTAAAATCCATGCAAGTGTCAACCCCTTTTTTTGCAAATGGTCATTTTCAACATAATCTTATAAGATATTTGAAAAACAAAAGTGTCAAGTGTTTTAACAAAAACTCTGCAGGCGGTAGGTACTCATACAAGTCAATTCCACAAGATTATTGATTTCCATATCTTAAAATTTTTTTACTAAATAGTGCTCGATAAATTCTAAATTGAATGACTAGATTCAGAAATCGTCAGAAACACATACTGCTGTAAAATTCAGTATAAAACTTGTCACATAAGCACCCATAATTCAAAGGTAACCCTCCACCAGATTGTTCACCACCAGAATCACAACAGAGGCAGATTCTCTACGTTTAGCTTTACATTTCATCTTCTAAATTACTGTTTTATGTATTGTAAAGATGACGACGTCTTTTTGATCATCAAAATTATTTGAACAATACAAAAATTTTGACTCATACAAATACTGAAGTAGTCAACAGTATTCACCTCAGAAGTATTCAAGTATCAGAAAAAAACAATTAAGCTTTTTGGCCAAAATTCAAACTTTTGATTTCGTTTATTCAAACTTTGAAGTAGAATAATAGTAAATTTAATTCCAAAAGTCAGGTAATTTGCAAACTACTTGACCGTTTCAAATATCATTACCTTCTGCATGATTCTGGTGATATTAACTAATCAAAACAATTATACATATTCAGTGCTGATCATCACACCAAAAAACATAAAGAATTGGTTCGGATACAACACCAAATATGATCTAAGCTTAACATAACTGAAAAAGCCATTTTTTCTAGGCTTAAATACCCTGGGTGCTTTATTGGCAAATAATATACACAATTTTTTTTTTAATTTTCAAAAATATTATTAGTTATTCAGTTGTTATCTTAAATAAATTCTGGCCATTGTAAAAAAAATAGACCTAGGGTAAGGGACAAAACTCTTAAAAATCAAAATCAAAAGTACGTTTGTACCACCAGTTTTTATAACTATATATTAAGAGCTTCTGAGTAACACATATTTTAGTTCGGTTTCATATGAATGCTTAAAAATCATTGATGAAACTGCCTATTACAAACACACAACTGGTTAAGAGTTATTTCTCTAATCCAGATCTATCCCCTTCATTAACGTTTTACCCTAGAAAGGCATGCAATGTGCTGTTGAAACGTCAATGGTTATGATATGATATGATCTTAATTCAAAAGTTTGGTAATTTTAAATGTGTAAACTATTTTTAAACAACACTTATGCATCAGGTTAAAGTATTTTCAATTGCTATTATAATTAACAAAAAATAAAGATTACAAAATTGTATTAAATTTTAAAAACTGTAAGCAATACTTCCAAATTATACAGAATTAACTAAAAATAATTCAAGAAATAACAACATTCTTCACCACGCTTTAGGCTAATAATATTTTCAATTTTTATTACAATTTACAAAGTAAATAAAGATTTTACATGATTCTAAGTGATCAGAAATTAACAATGTCAATGTATTTTGCCAAGATGTTGCACATCTAAAAAATAAAAATAAAGTATTTTTGAAATGTACACTTTTACAGAAACCAATTTTCACGTTAGTTTCTCATTCATATCACAATTATACACCAATCCCAGTCATTCAAATATTTCACAGCAGATTTACAACTCATCCCTTAAAATTGTATATCTGTTTCGTGATGGTGCTAGTTTTATAAATGAAGATTCTGGCGGAGATGTTGGCTGTTTGACTTTTTGCTCTGGTTCACTTTTGTCGTGTGGTAAATGTCCTGTTGCTTCTTTAGCTTCCTAAAAAATAAATAAAATGATAGGGATTTTAGATATTGTACCGAGTTTAATATATTTTTTTTTTAAATACATTGATTGTTGGTTGCTTAATGTCCAGTGGCCATATTTCATGCATGATTAGGACGATTTTTAAAAATACATAATGCACACAGACATTTACAAGATATATTACACATTTGTCAACATGTTCATCTTGTTGATACCAATTGGGTATAGACATCTATATATATTTTAATAAAACCCTGTTCTACAAACATAGTAATATTTTGCATATCATAGTTGTCAAAGCACCTATGGGCAATGGATATACTGACTTAATGGGCAAATGACATCCCTCTATTTTGCATATCATGACTATGCTGACACCAACTGGGCAATGGTCAACCACTTTTCTGCATATCGTGTCTATGCTGACACCAACTGGGCAATGATTAACCTCTATTCTGCATATCATTGATACCTATTTGGAAATGGACTTAGATCTATCTCTATTGCATGTCATGGCTCTGCTTACTCCTACTGACCAATGAACATCCATTCATTCTGCATATCATCAGTGATTTTGCTAGCGCTCGTCATTTTCGTCATTTACGAAACGGTTTTCAAAATGACGAAAGTATTCCAAATCAATTTCGTCACTCAAATTTGGAAAGAGTAAAAATATTTTCGCATGAAAATACTATAATTCTACCGGTCTTATTGTTTCTGACAAGTTTATGACCCTCAGCTAATTAACATTTACAACAGGTGTTATAAGTTGTGATTACAGATAATCCGCTTAACGCCATCGGATGGGTCACTAATCCGTTAATTATTTATCAACCTCATAATTGATCATCATAATTATTTTCCCCAGTAAAATCAGTCAATCGGCATTTCAATTTCAATATTTATCAAACGAGCACAACTTGCACTTCGTTTGTCTTAGTTTCGTCATTTGAGTTTTCCCTCTGACAGTTCGCATTTTAATTTCAATATTTCTCAAACGATCACAATTTGCAGTTCGCTTGTCGTAGTTTCGTCAAATGAACATATTTTCGTCATATTTGATATAACTTTTAATCAAAAACTTTCGACAAATTTCGATCAAAAAGATAGAACTTTATTCATAACATTCAGAAATGTTTTCACGAGTCAAACAGGTGCTTCCTTTACGATGAACTGCACATGCGCGAAAGTATTCTTACGAATTTAAAGACACTAAAACGTAAAATATGAAATAATTAAGTATCAAACGTAACGAGAGACAAATATAGTTCTTATTTAGCAAATTTAATTTAAAAAATGATAATTTCCTGCCTTTTTTAAACACGAACCAATCCGTAGATGAATCCGGATTCATTCTGAATTTATTATCCACTTGTCACTTCCTGTTTTTATTTCATTTGGAAATCGAAAGTAAACGTGATCTATTCATGATAAATTTACAATTTAAAGTCATTAGAATTGTTCCAATAAGGCTTTGTAAAAATTTTTGGTTCCAAATTTATAGATTTAATTCTCAATATCGCTTTAAAACATTTTTAAGGATAATGAGTATGAATAATGCAGTGAAATAGTCCTTACAAGTTCATTTATGCTGTGATTCCTGGTTTAAAAAAAAATGGATCCTAATTTTGCTGATTAGGAATGTACCCTGAAACTAACTAAAGTGAAATTGTGAACTAGATTTCTAGATCTTATATCCTAATCTTCGTATTAAAGTGCCACATCAGTCAAATCATGCAGTAACTGCCTAGTATGCCCAAGTCCTTCAAAGTCTGACAAAGATGTATAGATAGTAATATACATCCTAGGTCCCTTGCTGCTACCCAAAATAAGGTTGATTTTCATCCCACATAAAAATGACTAAAGCCCTCAAAATCCTAGCTTAAACCCTGCATATCATGGCTATGCAGCATGCTGACACCAATCGGACAATTTTCAACTTATCATCCTGGTTGACTCGCTTTACATTGTTTGCTTTATTGCAACTAGATTTTAAGCTAACAATAAACAATCATCTAACTACTTTTTGCACATACAGTCAATGATAAACAATGTTCCACCATTTTATGCTATGTATTTCATAGAGGATCTTCCAGTTAACCCATGCCTGAAAATATTTCTCATGACCCTGTTGCAGTGGTTAAAATTATAATGGAATGGGACCCGATTTGTGCGGGAAAAAAGTCTCTAGGTCTGCTGAATTATCTGGACAAATTGTAATATCAGTTCTTTCAAAAACTTATAAAAAAGACAGATTTTTTTTTCCTAATAGATGAAACTAATTGTTAAAAGTATATGTTTCTAAAGAGGTAAATCTTTATAATTTCTGTTTTTTTAATTCTCTGGTTAATTTAGAAATTTTTGACAAAATTGTGATGAAATGTTTGAATTGAATTACTGATAATGGATAATGTAACACATGCAAATTGTTTCCTTTATTTCTGTTTAATTAGGAGTTCCATTTAAAAGGAATTCTAATCTGATATATCTTAAATATCTTGCTAAAAAGCTCCAAATTAATAAAATAAACTGCTTTTTAAGAAAGTCGTACCACATAAAAAAGGTAATTTGTACAATAAAATAGGTTAAATGTCCTAGGTACATATATGCATGAATTAGACGGGTATAATTATCCAACATGCCTCCCTAAGTAGAAAACCTAAATAATCAACCGTAAATTTTCTCCAAAGATAGATATTCTTAATGCATGCAATTTCTTGACAAGCTAAAGCCCCTAAAACATTCATGATGCATGCAATTTATTACACAACCATAAACCCGCAACCAAAGACATAACTTACTCCAGGGATAGTCGGAGTCGGATAGGACTCCGTCTTTTCAGCCCCATAATGATACTCTCGGTGTAATTTACCCGAGTGCAAGTCAGCTATGAACTGACTTAATAAGCCAGGTTTTCTGAAATAAAATTAGAAAAGATGATTACTAAACATGTCATAGTACCGAACTTACCCCTGGGACTGGTGGCTCTGTTGTAGTTGTGGACGGATCTGGACCGTGATGAAATTCTCTATGTAATTTGCCTGAGTGTAAATCGGCAATAAAAGTTGATAATAAACCTGGTTTTCTGAAAGAAAAGTGAAGCAAAATGTCTACTTGTCTCCTTTTCACTCCTCATGATTGGACTAATAATGACCAAACGAAAAGACCATTGGGTAATTGATTCGTTGAAAGTAAATAAAAGTAAGTTACCTTCAAGATTGCTCAATACAATAAGCTGATGTAGCCAAAGTAGGACAAATACACTGTCAGAGAATAGAGATATTTGATTGAGAAAATAATAATATATTCAATGTGTCATTATTTGTTTTCAGTTTTATGAGAAAATTCCTCACAAACTTGGAAAACTAACCTTCTTGAACATGACTTTGCATAAGAGCTCTAAAACTGTGCATGTTTTATATTTCATCATACATGTATAAAGACATGTTAATACTATATGAGTACTAGACAAGACATAATTAGATTTTGCATGTGACAGTTCTTAAGCGCTTTTCCATTCAAATGAATGAAGTATGAAGTAAATTTCTATTTTTGGAACATGAATCCTGGTTATTTATAGTTGTATAAAAACTTAATGTATGTAAAACTACTAAAAGAAAGTATGTTGGTTGTTGATGTATTTTAGAAGTCCCTTTCTAAGTTCCCACAAAATATTTAAATAGCCCTAAGGGTACAGTTTGCTGGGAGACATATCACCCATCCATGAAAAAAACACCAACAAATAAAGAAATTTAAACAATAAATAAATTACTTACTCTAAATCGTTATTTACATTATGTGGGAAGACATACATATGTCTAAAACTGTCTATAGCTAAAACTGGTAAATCTTTAGCTGATTTCCCTAAATGATGGAGAGGGTGGGAAAATTTTGATCCATCTGCTGTGAGGAAATTTATAGCACCTGAAAATATAATCAATGAAATAAAATTAATACAAGTCATCAAATAGAGGTATTTGTTCACTGATGTGTCTTATGTAGACGTAACACGTGTTTAGGGTACAAAATTATAAGACTAGTATTGTTGATGAATTTTTTTAACCAATCTGTAGTGGTTAAATTCATAAAGGCGAAGGACTAGTTCTTGGAAAAAAGCCATTCTCACAACTTTAATTGCTATGCCATAAAACCATTTAAACTTGGTATGCCTACAATTGTGTGAGATAAAGTAAAATATATTCAGACATTCTGTGTATACTGGTGAAATCTTGAGGTCATCATTCACATTTAAATAATGGACACATGGTCTAAATTGGCCAGAGTTAAGGCAAGCTAAGTATAAATTTAAAACAAATCAATATTCAAATTCAAAAGTCATAATGAAGTTGTTTATCACTAATTGATGGGTCAATAATTAATTTTCAGCCTTTTATCAAAAGAAGCTATACAGTACATTCCTGTTATTTGCATAGCCTATTTGTCAGACGAAAATATGCAATTAAGCGGAGTATGCTTATATCCGAAATGCCAAATTACGGAGTCAAACAACATCGATAGTGCAGATCAGTAAAGGAAATCCCTGAAGAAAGATGAACGTCCATAATCCACTTACAACATATTGAATGCTTATTTATTCTAATAAAAGTTATTTGTCTAGTGTCATACATGTTATTTCATTGTGTATTCTTTCAATAACGTTTATAAACACATTTTGTTTTAGTTTATTTACGTACCAACTTTTCCTTTACCTGAGATACGAAAATAAAATTGTTCTAAAAATAGATTTGTTTCTATGACCCGGATGTACAATGTACATTGTTACGGTCTGATTAAAATAAACTGTTTAACAATACTACACAGTTTATTATCATTTTAAACAATAAATGTGTAATGAACTGCCTTTGATATGCAGTATTTACCGATTGCACAGTGATGTAACACTGTTACTTTAACCTCGTTAGTTTCGTATATGCAAAGCAGTTAACAGGTAATGGGGCCCTGCACGGGTTATTTGCGGAGAAAATATAATAATTAGAAGTTAATGTTCTTTTCAAAAAATATTAAATATAAAAGATTGATGTATAAAATTCTTCAACCAAATATAAATGCCCTATAAAATTTAACATAAGTGTAGATCACTCCAAGCCGAATTACGAGATTACACAATGGATAATGATCGATAATTAGCAGGTGTTATTGTTTTAAAAATTCACCCAAAATGTAATCTATGAACAATGTTTGAAATCCAATCAATAATTAACACCTTTTGAGATAGAATGGTCGTGTTTTTACAACAATCAGCTGTTTGACATTTTTATGACCTCGAGGCTTAAAATAGAACATGGGAAACTTTACCTGTGTACACATCGAGGCTTATTTTACAATCATATAAACACGAAAGAAACTGTTTTGAAACTTTATTTAAATAACACAGAAGTAAATATGAAATAATAACGAAAATTATGATGCATTCAAGAAAAATATACTCACCAAATTGCCGTTTCCGGTCAAAAATCTCGTCAGTTTTAACTAAGCATATCAAGCTGGCGATTATTTTCTATGCAATTAACCGAAATGCCACTTGTAAGGCTATGCATATAACCGGACAATTTAACATTAGATGAATGGGAAATGGTTTTGTGCAGGAGAAAAGTATGCAATTAACCGAATTATGCTATTAAGCGGTATGCAATTAAGTGGAGTCGACTGTATTAACTATGGATTAGTTAATTTTGTGGGTACCAATTTTCCTGGATTGAGGAAAACTTGTATTTTTGTGGATATCTGATTTTGCAGTGTTTGCCTATGTCTGCATACATTCCTTTAGAGAATTTATAATTCGATGAACATTTAAACTTGTGGTTCCCCTGTACTCAGATGAATACCAGGAAAATAGGTATCCAACAAATAAAACTGTAGGGACCTCGGTGGCCGAGTGGTCTAAGTAGTTACTACTGTAATCACTAGCCAGTCAACACTGAGGTTGTGAGTTCGAACCCCGCTCGTGCGGGTGCACTCGACTCCAATCTTAACTGACTAGGATTGTCAGTTTTCCTATCGAAGGTCAGTGGTTTTCTCCGGGCACTCCGGCTTCCTCCACCAATAAAAACTGGCCGCCACGAAATAGCCCAAAAGCGGTGCTTAAAAGTGGCGTTAAAACACCAAAAATCAAATCAAATCAAATAATACTGTATCTACAGTATCAGTAATAACCTCAAGTTACTAGAATCCCAATAAGATAAAATGTCTCCTTCCTATTCAATTTTTTATTCAAACATGTACTTACTTTTTTCATGTAATAATTGTTTAGCTACTTCAGTATTATATCTTTCTATAATTGATTTATCATCAGGATTGTAAAAAAGAATCAGGAACGGCAGTCCTTCTTCTGTTAATTCCTATAAAAATACAATTCAAAAATTAACAAGCATTCTGTGAGTATTGCATGGCAATACATAGTCCCCTACCGGTTAAAAATTCATTGTAATGGAACGAAATTCTAACTTGATCTATAACTTGTCATGGTGTAAACTACATAAAAATATCAGGTCAAAATCTTCAAGCATGACGGAAAAAACTGTTGAAAACGGATTCTTTAAGTGAATTTTCGATGTCCAAAGACCATAACTCAGCACAAAATCATCAGACTGGAACAAAATTCCAACTTGATCTGTCACTTGTCATGATAAAACTATATACTAATTATCAAATCAATATCTTCAAGAATGACAAACAAACCTACCACTAAATTCTTCATACAATTTACCAAAGAAAAGGAAAAAAATCCCAAATGTCATTTTGCTTTTTAAAAAATGAGTTATTTCCCTTTGAACAGAAAACTACTAATTAATAAGTATTTCATCAAAAACTTAATTCTAGAGAAAGGGCTTTTACTGAACAAAGAGAAAAGCTAAAATCGTGAAAATTGAACTTGACCTGTAACTTGTCATGATAAAACAATAAACCAAATAGCAAATCAATATCTTCAAGCATGAAGAAAAAAAGTCTGGAAAACTGATTTGCCGGACTGACAGACGGACAGACAGACAGACAGACAGACAGACGGACAGACAGAGTGCAAACCTGAAGTCCCCTTCGACTTCGTCCGTAAGGGACTAATAAAACAGGTTAAGAATGAATTATTACTAAATTTCATTTTTTCATAAATTGAATCAAGTGAGAGTTATTTCCTGATAGACAGCTAAGCCAGACAAGAATTTCATATCATATTTTTATCTTTGCTTAAAAAGAGCTAGACACTATTATAACAAAAACTCTTATTAGAAAAATACTTGTGAGTCATTAATATTTCAGTGGAAATTTAGTCATAAGATTTTTTATGATAAGGGCAACAGATAAGAATTAATAAACAATTTTCAAATTTTCAAAACAAAAAATTTATAAAAATGTTCTCGATTTTTTAATATATCAAATCATATTTATCAAGACTGGAATTAACTATTAGCTATGTATGTTAGGACTATAGCCAAATGATATTCATGAATGTGCAAATTGTATTCATAAATATTACAATTAAAAGCCTATATATTTTCACTAGCCACATGGCAGGGGACAAGTCAGCTTACCTCTGCATTTTCAAAAGTTATCTCCCTTACAAGAGGTACACATTTATCATTGGCCCACTGAACCAGGTGTTCATATGACACCAGGGAACCAGTATAAGTTAAATCTTCTCTTCTTGTCTGCAAAGTAAAAAATATTTCTTATTAGTTTCAGTCTGCATAAAATAATAACACAAAAAGTTGATTCTTTTAAAACTGTAAAAACACAGATATTCAAAAATGCGAAAGGTGTGAGCTGAAATTTTTGTTTAATTTCATGCAAAAACTTTTCAGTTATGAATAGGAAATAATACAGAAACGACTGGAGCAGTAAATTTTATGCTTCATGTTAGAAATAACCAAGCATAAAGGTTTCAAATTTTGAAGAGAACCAGTTGAAATAAAAAATTCGTAAGGGTTCCGCGGAACCCAGTGTCTCGCCTACTTTTGCTGTTAATCGCAGGCTCAACAAAAATGAGGAAAAAAATTAATAAAAATATTCCTCTCTATACTATCTTTTGATTGTAAGTAGCTTCTGTCCAAGTTTGGTAAAAATCCAGGATAGTTTATGAATCTAATAAATGTTTTAAAAACTTAAAGTGCAGACTGTATGTAATGTTAACTGGAAGAAAAACTAAGTCCATTTATAAGTAAAATACGGAAAAAATGGAATTTTTTTTTACTTTTTTACAAAATTTACTTTGGATACTATCTTTTGATCATAAACAAGCTTCTTTCCAAGTTTGGTAGAAATCCAGGATAGTTTAAGAAAATTATTAAAATTTCAAAAACTTTAACCACAGAGTGAATGTAATGTTTCTTGGTAGAAAAACTAAGTCCATTTATAAGTAAAATACGGAAAAAATGGAATTTTTTTTTTACAAAACTTACTTTTGAATATTATCTTATGATCATAAACAAACTTCTGTCCAAGTTTGGTAGAAATCCAGGATAGTTTAAGAAAGTTATTAAAATTTCAAAAACTTTAACCACAGAGTGAATATTTGTGGACGCCGCCGACAGAATGTAGGATCGCTATGTCTCGCTTTTCCGACAAAAGTCGAAGGCTCGACAAAAAGTGCTATTTTCCTTCGAACTTGATCAGTTGTATTTCTCTCTTATCGACAAAATTCCTCATGCATTTGCTTTTATGGTTGTTCCATTTAAACATACATGGTACTCAGGCAAGGCAATTTCAAAATAGTTTTATCACCTATATAGGCAATTTTAGAATTTCACTTGATTTATCCCTGTACCAAAAATTTTGGACCCCCAGAAATAGTTTGAGATTTTCAAAGTGCCTGCCCATGGTCCCATGTATGTTTTAATGGCACAGCCCTTATTCAAAACTGAACAAATTAATCTCCCTATTTTACTCACATTTGGTTTTCTATATACAACAGTATCCCCTCCTGTTCTTTCTGGTTCTGCAACTGGCCTGTTGAATATTAATTATACATAACATAAAACTCAATTTCTTTCCAACTAACACTTTATCAATCACAAAAATAAAAAATTCGTAAGGGTTCCGCGGAACCCAGTGTCTCGCCTACTTTTGCTGTTAATTGCAGGCTCAACAAAAATGAGGAAAAAAATCAATAAAAATATTTCTTTAGATACTATCTTTTGATTGTAAGAAGCTTCTGTCAAAGTTTGGTATAAATCCAGGATAGTTTATGAATCTAATAAATGTTTTAAAAACTTTAACTGCAGACTGTATTTAATGTTAACTGGAAGAAAAACTAAGTCCATTTATAAGTAAAATACGGATAAACAGGTACAAATTTTAACAAAATTTCCTTCTAGATACTAGCTTTTGATCATAAACAAGCTTCTGTCCAAAATTTGGTACAAATCCAGGATAGTTTAAGAAAGTTATTAAAATTTTAAAAACTTTAACCACAGAGTGAATGTTTTGTTTCCTGGCAGAAAAACTAAGTCCATTTATAAGTAAAATACGGAAAAAATGAAATTTTTTTTTTTAACAAATTTACTTCTGGATATTATCTTATGATCATAAACAAGCTTCTGTCCAAGTTTGGTAGAAATCCAGGATAGTTTAAGAAAGTTATTAAAATTTCAAAAACTTTAAACACAGAGCGAATATTTGTGGACGCCGCCGACGGAATGTAGGATCGCTATGTCTCGCTTTTTCGACTTAAGTCGAAGACTCGACAAAAAGGAAGCTTTATATTTTCATCTTCATGTGGCCAGTGGTGTTTGATCCAAATGTCAGGACTTTCCTTTAAAAGTTTTATCTATAAGCATGCCATACCTAAAGTATTTGCTTGTTTTAAATTCCAAAGAATCAGTTTCAAACAATCCTGTATTTCATTCTATTCTTCTTAAAAATTTCAACTTTATACAATATCAACTTAAAAACATACATTATAAGCATCCGACATGACATGGATTCCAAATAATTTTTACCAAAGTAAACAGTCTGCACCAAAATCTTTTCAAACATCTAGTCTGAAGACCAATATTCCAACATTTTTCTTATGTGGCTGAACAAAGTTTTGCAAAAACTTACTAGTCCAAATAAAATTTTACTAGTCTAGGGCATTGGACTAGTGGCTAACAGTGCAGACTGAGTAAACATAACATTTTTTTTCTAATGAAAAAGTTAAATTAGACATTTATTGCCAATAAATTCAAATAATGTCATTGAATATCACTCTATTTTCAAAGCAATCCTATCACAACTTTTCATGGCTTATTACCATGATTATAAAAAGCTCACATCTTTATTTCAAATGTGGATCATTTATGGTTGTCTGTCCATTCAGAGTATGCATACAGCTTTGAGCATTCCTGATGAAGGTAAATCCAGAAAAGTTCTTCAGTCACATGAAATTTATAAAGTGTTGTTTCCATCTTTTAAAGTATTTTGGTTGTGGGGTTTTGGGAGTTCCTTCCTCCCTTCCACATCCATTTTTAATAATGGAACAGCCCTAGATATTTTATCATGATTATATCTTTTTCCTTTTTTCATGTTCTTTTTTCTCTCAGAACAAAAACATGTATTATCTTACCCTATAGCGACATGGAATTTACAAGCCTCTCTCAGCTGATTGGCTACTTTAGCAAACGTCCTGTACTGGTCTGAATCTTGTGAGGCAAAATAGCCAATTACATTTCTTTTATTTGTCTGAAAATAAAGTTAATAAAGTACTCATTTCAAAAAAGTTTCTATGAATGTTATATTTATAGATTGATTGGTTGATTGTTATATTTAACACTATCTTCAGTACGCTTCGCTACATCATGGTAGCTAGTTTATATTGGAGAAAGTCACTGGAGAATAAATGACCTTCAGCAGGAAAACTTGCAATCCTATAGTCAATCAGATCCGAGTCAAACACACCTTGCCAAGAGTGGCTTTCAAACTCACAACTTCAACAAAAGATTTGAGTATTTGGTTTCCAAGACTAATGGTCTCGAGTGTACATGATGCAAATTATTGCAGAAACATGTAAATCAGTAACATCTGTTATTTATCCCGTAATTTTTTCAATAAAATAAAGCTTCAATTAAGTTTTTCATGAGGCATATATGTTCAATGTATACTCCATATTGAAGTTATGACAATATAAGATTTTTTTTTTTAAATAATACTTACATCAACTTCATCTAATGATTCTAATGTGTTGTGCATCTCAACAACATCTTTTATCTGATCTTTTATAAAAGTTGCTAAGGCATCCACCGACCTTTGACCTCTGTATTCTTTTTTGAGCGGTTCCCCATTACGGAAAAGCTTTAATGTTGGATATTTACTTATATGATATTGAGCTGCTATAGAATCTGCAAAAAAAAATCAAATAATTTGAAATTAAACTTGTTGGTAAAGGCAAGGGTATGATAGTGCCACTATTTTACCTCTTTCGATACGAAAATCAAAAAGTACATAAAATCTATCAAAAGAACATGTAGTTTTCATTATCATTCAGATGTTCATAAGACATAAGAACACTAGATATCAATATTTATATCTTAATTTATCTCCTTCAAATTTCACGTATTTCCTTTATAAATGCCTTGAAAGTTATGCATTTGAAGAAAAACTTTGAAATCGGCCAAATACCCATTTTAGTTTACGATGTCAATTTCCTGTCAGCAGATATCAATACATGTCGGATATATAACTGAGTATTCAACAAGAATCCAAAAAACACACTTTAAATTAAATTTTAAATAAATGTGGATAGTGTCCACATGTGGACACAGATGATGCCCCCGCTTGCATATCATATAGTTATAAAGGGACATAACTGAAGAACGGTAAAAGTGACACTACCCAAATTTGAACTTGATCTGAGTTTTGTGGTAATAAGCATTGTGTGTAAGTCTCATAACATTTGGTTGAGGCTAACTTAAGTAGAGAACAGAAACTAAAAATTCAGCAATTTTTCTATTTGTAATGATGCATAACTCTAGAACGGTTGTGTATAAGTTTTACAACATTTGGATGAGACAAACTAAAAAATTCAGCAATTTTTATGTTTATAATGGGACATAACTCTAGAATGGTAAAAGTGTTGCCACCTAATTTCGTACTTAATCTGTATTATGTAGTAATTAGCATTGTGTATAAGTTTCATAACATTTGGTTGAGGCAAACTCAAGTTAGAGAACTGAAACAAAAAAAATGTACTTGATCTTTACTGAGTTTTGTTGGAATGAATATTGTGTATAGGTTTCACAATCTTTGGCTGGGGAAAACTTCAGTTACAGAATGGAAACTAAAAAATTTTGCAATCTTTCTATTTATAAAGGGGCATAACTCAATAATGGTTAAAGTGACACTACCCAAATTCAACTTGATCTGTGTTTTATCAGTGGTAGTCAAAATTAAACATTGCATTGTATAAAGCATTGATTGTAGTTGATTCAACTATAATCATGGTCAAAGGAAGATAACTCCAATTTTAAAAATATATTATATAAACTTGATATTTAGAAGAAAATAAAAATTTTGCAATTTTTCCTTTTATAAAGGGGCATAACTCTAGATCGGTTAAAGTGACACCACCAAAATTCAAACTTGATCTGTGTTTTGTGGTAATAAGCATTGTGTATAAGTTTCATAACATTTGGTTGAGGCAAACTTAAGTTAGAGAACGGAAACTAAAAATTATGCAATATTTCCTTTTATAAAGGGGCATAACTCTAGATCGGTTAAAGTGACGCCACCAAAATTCAAACTTGATCTGTGTTTTGTGGTAATAAGCATTGTGTATAAGTGTCATTACATTTGGTTGAGGCAAACTCAAGTTAGAGAACGGAAACCAATTTCGGGACGTACGTACGTACGTACGTACGTACAGACGGACAAGGGTAAAACTTAATGCCCCCTCCGGTACGGCGGGGGCATAAAAAGATTGACCAATAACAAAATTAAAATACAATAATGTTTCATTTGTTTTTAGGAAATTCGGAAAATTTATGCAATTTGATATGGCTTTTCTAATAAATAAATAAACAGCTGCGCCATGAGCACATGATACGCCTGTCGTCTTGAGTGTGAATTTTTATGCAATAAGCATAAATAGTTTCTGACATACGGCGTGACATGCGAAAACCCCCCTTTTTTTTTTACAAAAAACTCAATATCTCTAAAATAGAATTTTGAATCAGAACCAAAAAGTATACAGATCTTTAGATTAATATAACTAAGAAGTGTGTTAAATTTTAAGCAATAATCATAAATTGTTTTTGAGATATGGCGCGACATGTGAAAAACCCCTCCCCCTTTTTTTACAAAATACTCAATAACTCAAAAATAAAATTTTGAATCATCACCAAAAAGTATACAGATCTTAAGGTTAATATAACTAAGAAGTGTGTAAAGTTTTAAGCAATAATCATAAATTGTTTTTGAGATACGGCGTGACATGTGAAAAAAAACACACACCTGTTTTAGTTACTAAGTCCCGTAACTCAAAAAGTTTTAATCTTATTATCACCAAAAAGTATACAGATCGTTTGACCATCATAAGAAACAACTATGTTAAGTATCATGAAATTTGGATAAGTCATTCTCAAGTTGCGGTGCGACATGTTTGCGCCGGACAGACAGACGGACGGACAGACAGACAGACGGACGGACAGACAGACGCCGGACATTTGTATACCATTATACGTCCCGTCAAAAATTTGACAGGCGTATAAATAACACACACCTGTTTTAGTTACTAAGTCCCGTAACTCAAAAAGTTTTAATCTTATTTTCACCAAAAAGTATACAGATCGTTTGACCATCATAAGGAACAACTATGTTAAGTTTCATGAAATTTGGATAAGTCATTCTCAAGTTACGGTGCGACATGTTTACGCCTGACAGACAGACGGACAGACGGCCGGACATTTGTATACCATAATACGTCCCGTCAAAAATTTGACGGGCGTATAAAAATGCAACAGGTGTTCAATTAGCACATTAAGGTAATAAACTTATGTATTTCTTTTCTATGTACTTTAGTACATGTAGTACTTACTCTCTGAATCACAGTCTATCTTTGCAAAAGCTACTTTTCCCTCTTCCTACAAAAATAAAAAAAAGAAATCAATATATGTTAAGTCTTAAATATGTTGTGGAAAACTTCTTAAGTGTTAAGTCCAAGAGTAATCAACAATACATTTTGGGCTTCCAATCTTGGATTCAAAACAGTCATAATAAATTGCTTTGTCCCGGAAAGAAAAAAAAAATTGAAAAAATATCAGGTTATATATATATATCAAGAAAAAAACTTGCCTGTTAAGGCAGTTAGGCTTGTTAAAGATTAACAAGGTCAGACACAATTTTACTCTTTTAACACAATTAAAAGAACCTTTTTTCCCTGTCATTCATGCATAACTGGGTTACTGAACATTTATTTTTCAAACATTTTTCTCTAAAACAATAGTTACTGGTACTTCTGTTTGTCCCGTAAGTTTGTCCATTCAACACTCAACTAAGGCTACCCTTAAAAACATCTTTGTTTGATGTTTGCCTACCTATAAAGCCTAGAAGGGTTGGGTAGGTAGGTAGCGATTTGCATTTCTTTTTTCTTTTTGGCCAACAACATAAGTTACATGTTTTAAACAAAAAATTGAAACGATTTGTGTCATAAGATTTTTTGGGTAGGCTGCTTTTCAGGAGGGCAGTTAAGCAACATCAAACAATTTAAATTTTAGCAGAAAATTTTGTTGGGCTTTTTTATTTCATTTGTCTAGTGGATAGTTATCCAGGAAATTAAAACCTTAACCTACAAAAATTATTACTTTTACATACTGGAAACCACAAAAACCAATCCCCTTAATTAATAAATCAAATGTGAGACAAAACCACAAAAATTATAATAATATTTCTCCAGTGTTTCTTTGTGTGTGATTTTTAACAGATTTTACTGTTCTTTGTGTGTGATTCTTAACAGATTTTACTGTTCTTTGTGTGTCATATTTAACAGATTTTACTGATTGATGTGTGTCGCTTTTAACAGATTCAACTTCTTTGTGTGTCATTTTTAACAGATTTTACTGTTCTTTGCGTGTCATTTTTAACAGATTTTACTGTAACACCTGATTTACTGTATCACCTGAAAGTGTTGATATTACAGGAACTTTTTCTTGTAACAAATGTTACCAAAAGCTTCTGGTGTGACAGGTGTAACATATGGATTTTAGACCAAAAATCAATAAATGTAACACTTCCTAAACATAAAAAAATAAGCTATATGTACTTAAAATCCCTGTTAGCATAAAAAATTTTCCTCTCAGAATAAAACAATCATGAGAATATTGTTATTTAAGTGCCAATCTGACAAAGAATCAGACAGTGGTGAAAACATGATTATTAACAAAAACATGCTCAACTTTACATTAATTTAAGTTCAAAATGTTATGGTGCACAAATATAACATTTGTTTCCATTTCCTGTTCTGGTATTTTAAGATATAATTGGTTGAAATGCAATAGAAAATTAACAATTAAGGGGAGCTAACTCTGTAATTTGCTTTCATTCTAACCAAAAGTTATCTAGAAATTTCCCGAATTACCAGACACGCAGAAATGAGCATGATGAGAGACCAACCATTGCTAACTCAGGATGAGGGTAACTTCAAAATAGGATGTTAAGGTCGGCAGATTTTTTTCAGCCATGTTTTGAAATTTTTCTAATTTGCCTGATTTTTACAAATACTGGCACTTATTGCTACAATTTACAATGGTAAAATGATTTGAAGTTGTGTGCAGCGAGAACAGTTCCTACATTTCTCTGATTTGTTAAATACAAACCTTTATATCTTCTTTAACTTTATTTGATGCTTCTTCAAACACTGGTTTTAATATCTGACTAAATCTACACCTGCAAACATACAAATTTTTATGAGAATTTTATATACCAATGTTTTATAAAGCAGATTCCAGGCATTCCTGTATCTGTCAAAACTTATTTCCAACATTTTAGATTTTCAGATAAAAGATACATGTCGGAGGACATGAATGCCCCCCTCAAGTTTTGCAATTTTCTAAGTTGAAAAGGGGCATAACTCTAGAACGGTAAATGACTAGCAACCCAAACTCTAACTCTGTCTGCGTGTTGTGGTTTTTAGCATCCTGTATGAATTCCATAAAATTTGCATGAGGCAAACTAAAGTTAGAGTGCAAAAAATAAGACGTACAGAAGGACTGACGAACAGACGGACAGTAAAGGTAACACTTAATACCCCTACAGCGAGGGCATTAATCCTTTCTGACCAACTGTTCTCTATGATGAGACGGAGTTCAACTTTATGTGTATCAAAAATATTGTTTAAAGTAGGAGGGTTATCCCTTTTTTTTTCAGAATGCTTAATGGTGGAGGCTCAGTGATAGGGTCTACCTAATTAAGGGATTTTTATAGGTGGTCTCAAGCCTTTCTGAGCATGCTGAGTAGATCTGATTTACTATTCCCGGTACAAGTAACTAGCCCTATTATTATTTTTAAAATGAGTTGTTATAAGAAAGACCAAAATCATCTTTCATTTCGTATTTGAATGTTCCAAAATCAATCAAAGTCTTATACATGTACATGTATATGTGTACTTGCAAACATTTAATTTCTATCCAACACAGCTCATATATTGATTTTTTAACATTGTATAGTTTTGTCTAATGTGTATATCTTTTTTAAAATACCTACCAATCTGCATAAAAATTTACAAATACAAGTTCATGGCCACCTGGAACAGAACAGAGAAGTACTGAATTACAAGTACATTATTAAAGACAAATACCAATGAATATTAACAAATCAATAATTCTTGCAACAGACATACCACCATCAGCGGATTTTCCTTTTTCACAATCAATATGCAATAACATTTTATTAATATTCTAAAATATTTTGACACAATACCTAAAATGACTTTAAGCCAGCCATTAGCCGTCAACACATGCTGGTGTTTAAATCTAAATAACTAAATGTACATTTTTTCTTCGGGACATATAATATGCCTGTATACAGTGTTAGAAGTAAAATAGGGACATTAAATAAAACAAATTTAGAATAACATGATTCCACTCTTAACATTTAACCTCAGTATGGATATCATTTTTTAATATATAAGTATTTTTACATCACATGCATCATGTACATATATACTATTGTATATAAACCACCCTAATAAAGTTAAAAAAAAATTCTTCAATGGTCAAGTTTTCAAATACTTATTATGCTTATCATTGATTGGCTCTAATGTGCTGTACCATGACCTATAGTTGCCTAAATCTGCTTCAATTGGGGTCTGTTGGATAGATAAGTTGTCTAATTTGCAATCATACCACATCTCCCTATTTTAGATTGACGTCATATACAGTAATTACTAAATTATTTTTATACATGTCATGTGGCGGTATGGTACAATCTTCAGTCCTGTTTGTTATTTCACTGATTGCAATTAAAAGGGAGAGTTTTATATTTTGAGACTTATGATGATGATGGATGGTTGGATTGTTAACGTGCTAGCACACAAAGCAACAGTCCACAGAAAGACATGTCACCTTACTCGGACACATTATCTCACTCCGAGCCGACCAGTCTTTGCTCTAACTGCTGAATGCTGCGTGCTTCGCATAGAAGCAGCACATACCAATTTTAAAGTCTTTGATTTGACCCAGCCGGGGTTCAAACCCACGACCTCCCACACTTGAGGCTAACACACTACCACCAAGTGTTTTTTGTGAGACTTATACACACCGGGTATCCCGATCCGAAATCCATGGAAGGATCTGAACCCCGGGGAGCAATTACATGTGACAAACTGTGGGTAAGTAAAATATGGATCTGATTCCCACAGAGGATAAAAATCCTCCGTTGGAATTGGATCCAGAATTTATCTACGAATTGCACTACACATGTAATTGCTCCTCCGGATTCGGATTCGGATCCTACTGGGTGTGCTAATATATAAATGTTGACGTCTATAGGTTTATTGCGTCAGTGGTTACTCATTCATTGGTGTACATGTATGATCTGATACATCTGTGATACAAGAGTTCAATCAAGACAGTTATAACTGGTAACAAGGTTTCGTCAAGACAAGCTGAACTATATGTCTCCACCTTTCTAACTGCTTTACTTAGAACCTATCCTTAGGTTTGTAATTTTTCAACAAGTACTAATGGCAAAATGTGCATCCATTCACCCTGGTTAATTTTTTTAAAGTATTTTTTCAACAGTCAACTGATCTTTTTTTTTTTTATCAATATTACAAAATCAACCATATCTCACCTAAAACGGATTTTAAATTTTGGCTGTCCATACTAATGACATCTAAGTAAACAGGTGGTATACAGCTCAACTGCAATAGAAATACGATGGATTAATAATAATACTGATGACAATAATGAAAAACACATGATAAACATGATAAGTAGCTGCTTAATGTCCAGTGGCAAATATAACATATAAGACAATAATATGGTGTATGTATATATATTACATGTACATGTATTATGCTGCCTTGTAACAGATCAGCATACACAACAAGATTTAGAACATGTTAACTGATACATGTAGAGTAAAGGCCAATCAGCCTCTGCCATTACTCTTAAATGCTGCATGCTTGGAAGAGAAGCAGTATATATGCCAATTTTAAAGTATGCCTCAGTCTGGGTTATTCCCTGAACCTCCTGCACCCAAGATGACACATGAAGAGACCACAAGGTCAGGGATTTCACATGCAATGCATGTGTAGCTGTCTGAATGTTTATTTCTATATTCTGTACAAATACATATTACTTTTTAGTAAGAAAATTTTAAAAACAATATTTATTACATCTACTCTCTATTTGCTGTTTGTTTTTAAATTAAATCCCCAAATTAGTAGCTTTAAAGTGACAACTGTTCTATATTTCTTTATCAATAATCCCTTTAAATTTCCACAATCATGACAATCATGACAATACAATACTAGCAAAAACAAAATGCATATGGACCTCTTAAGAATCAAACTAGTTTTATCACCTTGTATATATCTCAAAATAAGATATGGTGACCTATATTTTTTTTAATTGAATATGGAATTACTGCCTGTCGATACTTTTATTTTGGCATTGCACAAGTCATGTCTTCTTTGACTGTCCATGACGTTAAAACACTAAATCCCTGGGATGTGTTTTAGTTGATTTTAGTCTCTGATGCATGATTTTTTTATTATTACTTTAATTGATTTTGGCTTTTAACTAGCTTTCAGTAACTGCGAGTACACTCAAATCGTACTTTCATGTTAATTTGACCTGTTGATACAATTTGTTATGCATTTTTGTTATTTAATGTTTATTTCTCGTCTCACTATTTATGTATGGATATTTCACACTGTTTCAGTAATTTTTTTATTAATCTGAAGTATAGGTATATTAATGACTTATATACATGATATATATATCAGTGCAAAGAAAATTTACACCACATAGATCATTGTAGATAGCTCATGTTTATATTAACACACTGGTAAGTACTTCTATTTTGGGATATTTAACGATTTTTACAATACATGAAGGCCAGCTATTTAATGTCTATCATATATATCAGGGCTTCCAAAATTATTTTTAGCCAGCCGGACATTTTATATATTATCCCGATTTTAATCCCTTAAGACTAAATAAACAAAAGGCAATTATGGTAATCAGTTGCCGAGTTGGCCATCCCAATGATTGACATTAAAAAAAAAACAATATTAAACTTTCTTTGATTCAAATTCGAAGTTCTGACGTAAACTGTTAAATTGGCAGTGCATCTTCCGAAGTGTGCAACATCAGCGTACTTATATCTGCCTTAGACTCTTTATTTGTGCAAAAACATTGTTTTGTAATTGCAGCATGTTGTTCAGGCATTTCCAAAAAAAATAAATAAATAAAATGCGAAAAAATCTATACTAATCTAGTAAAAGAAACTATAAAAATTAGAAAGTCATCGTTTTTTTTTTATTAAAATCTAAGATAAAATTAACAAAAAAACATGTTCAATCAATATTTCAATAACAATATTCATGCTATTAACATGTCATAAATATATAATTTGATATCTAAGCCATCTGTCAATAAAAGACAAACATTGTATAGGTAAAATATATCAATATACAGATAAACATGTACCCTAAAGGAAAATATTACATTAAATGAAAAAGTGTCAATGACTGGCCTTAATAGTGAAAACATATATACATCATGTACATGTACATGTATATATATATATATATACAAACGATTCAAGATTCCAATATAATTTCCGGGGTCAAAGAAAGATAACTTAAGACTATAGATGAATCTTTTCAGATGATGCCCCAACTTTTCATGCTTATGCATGAATGTATTTGTACACATTTCATTAGAACAAACTGACGTTGAAAGGCACATTCCAATTTCCTGTCCAAAAATGTTCAACATTTGGCAGATTTGTGGAAAGAAAATAAACATTATAGTAATATGCACACCCTTATATATACTATATCTTTATGTCTATTGTAATAAATACCCTGTCTAATATAAAAGTTTTAGTATGAAAATTGATCGAGTTAGCCGAACAAACCATGCATACGTATGTACCTTACATTGTGTAAATGCATAATTTCACCAAAAAAAGACACAACGTTGAAGAATCTGCTATTTGTAAAGAATCAGAAGAAAAAATCAAGGTTCTAATTATATGCCAACCCTCAGCAGTTCAGTAAATGAACTAGCAGCTGTCATAATGAAAAAATTACTAGCTTGAAAACTTTATACCCAAGACTCAGTCAAAGCCTGAGTAGTTAGAATCAGGAAGGTCTGAATACTCTGGTGCTGATGAAGCATACATGCAGATGGACTTGCCTTCTTTTCCTTAAACCAACCTGCCTGTGCCAACCAAATTATTTAATTCAATAATTGGTTCAAATAACCATCAAGATTTGTGTCTACAGGATTGAAAAAGACATGCATCTCACTCAGTCTGTATTAACCAATCCAAGTGACCAAGGCCAAAACATCCTTGACTAACTTGTCTGCATCTTGAGCTGGTAAATGTTTACTTTCATAAAAAAATTCTTTTTGAGGCAATTGGGTCTAACAGTAGCAATGAAAGCCTTGATGTAGCATAGTCCATGTAGTCAGTCACAGCATCTTGAACTCTGTGCTTAATCATAAGACTTGGAAGAATGTATAGCCTATGTACATTGTAGGTCTGCACAGTATAAAAATATATTGAGTGGAACTTGAACAATTGATTGATTGATGTCCAGTGGCAAATATTTCATGCATGATCAGGACAAGGAACATATCAATAATGAATACATGTATAATCTGGAAAAGGAACACAACTACAGAGGCCGCCAGGGCAGGGTGAAAGGTAGGAAATTTTAACTGCCACTGTAATATGAGTGCGTTAGATAAGGATGGAAATTTTACCTTGAAACAGGCCACCTACCACCCTTCAGACTTTTGTTGCAAGCTTTAACTTGCAGAGGATATTGCACCCTATCTATATGAGACATCTGCTTTGTCGTTCCTATTACAACCAGACATGGCTGCATATTATTATTTATACAACCTTCATGAACACGTCACATGAACAGCTAAACAAATGCCCTTTACTCTTTAGCTAGGTTTTGACTGTCAGAACAGGAGAAATTCAAGGAAACACATTTTTTCTAACTAAGCCAGTCAACCTTTGGTGTGTATCTGTATCTGTATAATAAGGGGACGAAGTCCCCTATTACAGTAGAAAAATCAATAAAAAAAAAAAAAAAAAAAAAAATCGGGAAAATTTCCCGAAATTTTCATTGTACTAATGAACTCAAAATCGTTAACTTTTTTTTTGTAACTTTTTTAAATTCCCGCATTTGCGCAGAAATCTACTTCCTTCTTCCGGTCTCGTTTGTCATGAGACTTTGAGTGAAATATATATTTATCAGTCCAGTAAATTATAGGAAGGAACACAATAACAATTTCATTTCTAATTATTCTTTGATATGAAAAAACGTTACCTGATGATAGCGTCTTTGTTTACATTGAATATGACGTCATAATTAAAATAACGTCACAACTAAAATCCCTAACAACAGAACCAAAATCGGAAACGTTACGGTATTTCCGTTTCTTTTTTAACAGATTTAGAACTTAAACGATATGTTTGAATTAAAAAAATAATTTATATAGACTTCGTCCCCTTTCACAGGTAATGCCTGCCTCATATTACTGGAAATAAACTCTAAATTACTGAGTAAAACTTACCCAGGATGTGTGTGTGTGCCACATCTAAGACCAGTAACGTGTATGTGTGTGCAAGAGGGGGACCTCAAAATTTGAAGCACCAAAAGGTTGGTAGGTACGCAAAAATTAATTCTTGCAAAAAGTAAACATGTGTTAAATCAATATAAACATTTCTTGAAATTCGAAGGTCTTTGGAAGACTGCACATACCGATCGAATGACCAAGTCGAAAATTTAACTTGGACTTGGTAACGTAATCTTCGATACGAACGTGTAATGCATACTTCCACTGACATACAATTCTTACCAGTAAAACAGTAAGGAAATACTGTAAATAATTCATCTTTCGAATTTGATTCCGCATCGTCAGTCGGTTAAATAGATCTCACAATATGTTTGGAGGAAGGGTAAGGTGCTCGGACCGGAAAGCAAAACAAATATGGCCGATAACGTCAGCGTGTAATCGCGAACAGACGAGACTAAAATGATTATGTTGTTATCGACCAGCTTTCACCTGTAGTAGTTATCTAAATTGCATGAAACTTATATTAAAAAAACAAGATATGTAAGTAACAAAGAGTTATTCTAGTTGCATTTTACATTTGTGAAAAGGGTCAACTCGTACCTATAATTGTTACTGAAAAACTCGGCCTACAACTGACTCGGACCATAACAAATTAGGACTATAACAAACTCGGCCTATCGTTCTTTATATATAGAAATAAAGTGGACAAACTCGGACTTTCGTATATTGTGTTTTCTGATGTGGAAGAACAAATATGACGAACATCAACCAACGAAAACCACTTATTTACAGGTTCCTGACTTTTTAGTTTCTGGCCTTTTGCTCTGCCTTTTATAGGCTTTATATAGCTGCTAGTAAATGCCAGTGCTAAATTAATTTATTTATCTATTCTTTTTAGTTTTTGAGTATTTTATGATATTTTGGAGATTGCAGAGGTCCCCCATTCAATGCACATAGGCGGCTAGATATTTCGGCCACCTGAGCATTGATCCAGTGGAGGTGCAGAAATCCAAAATAATTTGCTTTCATTATATTTGCATGTTTTTTTAATTTTTATTCATTAGTATCTGCGTGAAAGTGCATGATTTTTATATGATAGTCGGTTAAAGGGCTCATTAGAGCTCATGTTATCTCTGTTATTGTGTTCATATATGCCGACTTTAGATAAAATTTACTTACTTACTGGGAAGGCAGATAAATGACGAATGTGGCGGGATTAAACATGTCTGTGAGCTCTCAAGCCTCCCCTAATCTGGGACAGTGGTGTATAGGCACTACATATGACAAAACTGTAAAAATCAGTTGCAAATGGCTTTTCTCAATAGATCGATACAAAGCACACAAAAGAACTAACATAACAATAGACAAAGAACCAATGTATATATATTAATTGTCGAAATCCGGATATGGTGTACAAAAATCTGTGCACCTTTGTTTGCGGTATACCATCTTTGCCGCAAGTTTATTGTTTTCTGTTTGGTATTAAATTTTTAATTAAGATCCATTTATTACACCTTGTGATCCGTTTATTTGGCAATCGCCAATGGCAGTCAGCAGGGTTTAAGAACATTTGTTGTTCGACCTGTTAGTCAAATGCGTTTTGTTAAAATATACTTTTTCACTTTTTTGGTCTTTTGGAAAATGTTGTTTGTGCTGTATTTAGACCCCCTCTATCAAGAAATTTGTTTTGCATGCACACGTATAAAAATTGCGGTTTTTATCCAACGCAATCATAGGTTTGAACGTTGTTTTCAATTTAGACTTGTTTATATTTTTTCGTTTGGGCTTGTATTATATTTTCCATCGGGTTTATATGATCCGTTCATCCTATTTGTAATATTTCGACTCTTCAAAATTCAAGAGTCTATCCCAAATTGAGGTAAATTATATGGCCTTCCAAATACCGTTTCGATCCCTAACATCACTGAAGAGACATTAATTGTCGAAATCCGGATATGATGTACTAATTTTTGCACCTTTTGTTTGCGGTATACTATCTTTTCCGCAAGTTTATTGTTTTCTGTTTGGTATTAAATTTATAAATTTTAAAAGATCTTGTGATCCGTTTATTTGGCAATCGCCAATGGCAGTCAGCAGGGTTTAAGACTGTGTGACATCTGTTGTTCGACCTGATAGTCAAATGCGTTTTGTTAAAATATACTTTTTCACTTTTTTGGTCTTTTGGAAAATGTTGTTTGTGCTGTATTTAGACCCCTCTATCAAGAAATTTGTTTTGCATGCACACGTATAAAAATTGCGGTTTTTATCCAACGCAATCATAGGTTTGAACGTTGTTTTCAATTTAGACTTGTTTATAAATATTTTTTCGTTTGGGCTTGTATTATATTTTCCATCGGGTTTATATGATCCGTTCATCCTATTTCTAATATTTCGACTCTTCAAAATTCAAGAGTCTATCCCAAATTGAGGTAAATTATATGGCCTTCCAAATACCGTTTCGATCCCTAACATCACTGAAGAGACATTAATTGTCGAAATCCGGATATGGTGTACTAATTTTTGCACCTTTTGTTTGCGGTATACTATCTTTTCCGCAAGTTTATTGTTTTCTGTTTGGTATTAAATTTATAAATTTTAAAAGATCCATTTTGTAACATCTTGTGATCCGTTTATTTGGCAATCGCCAATGGCAGTCAGCAGGGTTTAAGAACATCTGTTGTTCGACCTGTTAGTCAAATGCGTTTTGTTAAAATATACTTTTTCACTTTTTTGGTCTTTTGGAAAATGTTGTTTGTGCTGTATTTAGACCCCTCTATCAAGAAATTTGTTTTGCATGCACACGTATAAAAATTGCGGTTTTTATCCAACGCAATCATAGGTTTGAACGTTGTTTTCAATTTAGACTTGTTTATATTTTTTCGTTTGGGCTTGTATTATATTTTCCATCGGGTTTATATGATCCGTTCATCCTATTTCTAATATTTCGACTCTTCAAAATTCAAGAGTCTATCCCAAATTGAGGTAAATTATATGGCCTTCCAAATACCGTTTCGATCCCTAACATCACTGAAGAGACATTAATTGTCGAAATCCGGATATGGTGTACTAATTTTTGCACCTTTTGTTTGCGGTATACTATTTTTTCTGCAAGTTTATTGTTTTCTGTTTGGTATTAAATTTATCAATTTTAAAAGATCCATTTTGTAACATCTTGTGATCCGTTTATTTGGCAATCGCCAATGGCAGTCAGCAGGGTTTAAGAACATCTGTTGTTCGACCTGTTAGTCAAATGCGTTTTGTTAAAATATAATTTTTCACTTTTGTGGTCTTTTGGAAAATGTTGTTTGTGCTGTATTTAGACCCCTCTATCAAGAAATTTGTTTTGCATGCACACGTATAAAAATTGCGGTTTTTATCCAACGCAATCATAGGTTTGAACGTTGTTTTCAATTTAGACTTGTTTATATTTTTTCGTTTGGGCTTGTATTATATTTTCCATCGGGTTTATATGATCCGTTCATCCTATTTCTAATATTTCGACTCTTCAAAATTCAAGAGTCTATCCCAAATTGAGGTAAATTATATGGCCTTCCAAATACCGTTTCGATCCCTAACATCACTGAAGAGACATTAATTGTCGAAATACGGATATGGTGTACTAATTTTTGCACCTTTTGTTTGCGGTATACTATCTTTTCCGCAAGTTTATTGTTTTCTGTTTGGTATTAAATTTTTAATTAAGATCCATTTATTGGCAATCGCCAATGGCAGTCAGCAGGGTTTAAGAACATTTGTTGTTCGACCTGTTAGTCAAATGCGTTTTGTTAAAATATACTTTTTCACTTTTTTGGTCTTTTGGAAAATGTTGTTTGTGCTGTATTTAGACCCCTCTATCAAGAAATTTGTTTTGCATGCACACGTATAAAAATTGCGGTTTTTATCCAACGCAATCATAGGTTTGAACGTTGTTTTCAATTTAGACTTGTTTATATTTTCTCGTTTGGGCTTGTATTATATTTTCCATCGGGTTTATATGATCCGTTCATCCTATTTCTAATATTTCGACTCTTCAAAATTCAAGAGTCTATCCCAAATTGAGGTAAATTATATGGCCTTCCAAATACCGTTTCGATCCCTAACATCACTGAAGAGACATTAATTGTCGAAATCCGGATATGGTGTACTAATTTTTGCACCTTTTGTTTGCGGTATACTATCTTTTCCGCAAGTTTATTGTTTTCTGTTCGGTATTAAATTTATAAATTTTCAAAGATCCATTTTGTAACATCTTGTGATCCGTTTATTTGGCAATCGCCAATGGCAGTCAGCAGGGTTTAAGAACATCTGTTGTTCGACCTGTTAGTCAAATGCGTTTTGTTAAAATATACTTTTTCACTTTTGTGGTCTTTTGGAAAATGTTGTTTGTGCTGTATTTAGACCCCTCTATCAAGAAATTTGTTTTGCATGCACACGTATAAAAATTGCGGTTTTTATCCAACGCAATCATAGGTTTGAACGTTGTTTTCAATTTAGACTTGTTTATATTTTTTCGTTTGGGCTTGTATTATATTTTCCATCGGGTTTATATGATCCGTTCATCCTATTTCTAATATTTCGACTCTTCAAAATTCAAGAGTCTATCCCAAATTGAGGTAAATTATATGGCCTTCCAAATACCGTTTCGATCCCTAACATCACTGAAGAGACATTAATTGTCGAAATCCGGATATGGTGTACTACTTTTTGCACCTTTTGTTTGCGGTATACTATCTTTTCCGCAAGTTTATTGTTTTCTGTTTGGTATTAAATTTATAAATTTTAAAAGATCTTGTGATCCGTTTATTTGGCAATCGCCAATGGCAGTCAGCAGGGTTTAAGAACATCTGTTGTTCGACCTGTTAGTCAAATGCGTTTTGTTAAAATATACTTTTTCACTTTTGTGGTCTTTTGGAAAATGTTGTTTGTGCTGTATTTAGACCCCTCTATCAAGAAATTTGTTTTGCATGCACACGTATAAAAATTGCGGTTTTTATCCAACGCAATCATAGGTTTGAACGTTGTTTTCAATTTAGACTTGTTTATATTTTTTCGTTTGGGCTTGTATTATATTTTCCATCGGGTTTATATGATCCGTTCATCCTATTTCTAATATTTCGACTCTTCAAAATTCAAGAGTCTATCCCAAATTGAGGTAAATTATATGGCCTTCCAAATACCGTTTCGATCCCTAACATCACTGAAGAGACATTAATTGTCGAAATCCGGATATGGTGTACTACTTTTTGCACCTTTTGTTTGCGGTATACTATCTTTTCCGCAAGTTTATTGTTTTCTGTTTGGTATTAAATTTATAAATTTTAAAAGATCTTGTGATCCGTTTATTTGGCAATCGCCAATGGCAGTCAGCAGGGTTTAAGAACATCTGTTGTTCGACCTGTTAGTCAAATGCGTTTTGTTAAAATATACTTTTTCACTTTTGTGGTCTTTTGGAAAATGTTGTTTGTGCTGTATTTAGACCCCTCTATCAAGAAATTTGTTTTGCATGCACACGTATAAAAATTGCGGTTTTTATCCAACGCAATCATAGGTTTGAACGTTGTTTTCAATTTAGACTTGTTTATATTTTTTCGTTTGGGCTTGTATTATATTTTCCATCGGGTTTATATGATCCGTTCATCCTATTTCTAATATTTCGACTCTTCAAAATTCAAGAGTCTATCCCAAATTGAGGTAAATTATATGGCCTTCCAAATACCGTTTCGATCCCTAACATCACTGAAGAGACATTAATTGTCGAAATCCGGATATGGTGTACTAATTTTTGCACCTTTTGTTTGCGGTATACTATCTTTTCCGCAAGTTTATTGTTTTCTGTTTGGTATTAAATTTTTAAATTTTAAAAGATCTTGTGATCCGTTTATTTGGCAATCGCCAATGGCAGTCAGCAGGGTTTAAGAACATCTGTTGTTCGACCTGTTAGTCAAATGCGTTTTGTTAAAATATACTTTTTCACTTTTTTGGTCTTTTGGAAAATGTTGTTTGTGCTGTATTTAGGCCCCTCTATCAAGAAATTTGTTTTGCATGCACACGTTTAAAAATTGCGGTTTTTATATATATAATAGCAGCATAATTTTATAAAAGTACTCACAACAGTGTACACGTATAGCAATATGTATTTATTTTTAATGTTTTAATTCTTCAAAAATAAGATCAGTGTTAGTACCGATAAAAACAATATTTAAAGATTTTTCTACGATGTTGAATTGACTGTAAATTTCAATTATAAGTTTATTATAAGGATCAATGAGCTTACATGGATTGAATTGGCTAATTTTACGGGCCGTTCTATAAAAATATCACCAACTGAATAAATTAGGATGTGATATCCCGTTTTTAATAAGGATTATACAGGAACAGCCAAACTTCCAAACCAAATTTTTGTTTCTATCGGAAAGAAAAGTTTTTAATTAATTTGGGGTAACCAAATCCCCGACTTATTATTTTTTTTTTAAATTAAACATTTAAGTAACCTAACCGGTTAAATAATAAAATTCGTAAAGGGTTCCGATGAACCCTAGCTGTGTCTCGCCTGCGATTGATGCTGTCAGTTTAAAAGTGTAATGTTGACTGTAAAAAGTGAGTCTATTTATCAGTAAATTACAGAATTTAAAAAAAAAAATCAATTTTTCTTTATATATATATTTTGGAAATTCGGGTTTATATGATCCGTTCATCCTATTTTGACTCTTTCAAAATTTAAGAGTCTATCCTAAATTGAGGTAAATTATATGGCCTTACAAATACCGTTTCGATTCCTAACATCACTGAAGAGACATTAATTGTCGAAATCCGGATATGGTGTACAAAAACCTTTCCCCCTTTTTGTTTGCGGTATACCATCTTTTCCGCAAGTCTATTGTTTTCTGTTTAGTATTAAATTTATAATTAAGACCCATTTATTACATCGGTGATCCGTTTATTTGGCAATCGCCAATGGCAGTCAGCAGGGTTTAAGAACATCAGTTGTTCGACCTGCTAGTCAAATGCGTTTTGTTAAAATATACCTTTTCACTCATTTGGTCTTTTGGAAAATGTTGTTTGTGCTGTATTTAGACCCCTCTACCAAGAAATTTGTTTTGCATGCACACGTATAAAAATTGCGGTTTTTATCCAACGCAATCATAGGTTTGAACGTTGTTTTCAATTTAGACTTGTATATATATATATATAGAGAGAGAGAGAGAGAGAGGGAGAGAGAGAGATGCTTTTTCTTGATCTAGAGGTGGCATCTTGTCTAAGTTCCATAACCATCCAAGAAGGTTTACAAATTTATCATGTCAAAACAATTCAATCACAGACTGTCTGTAAATGTTAACTTAAAAAAAAAAAAAAGTCCATCTTATTCTATTGGTTAAATATTAAAAATGAATAAAAATATATTTTCACAGTATCTCTTAATCATGAAAAAAGCTTCTGCCAAAGTTTCATAAAATTCTATGAAGGTTCGAAAAAATAATTGATGCGCATGCGTTTGTGTATCAAACTATAACCACAGGCTGTATCTACTTGTTAACTATAAAACAAAATCAGTCCATCTATCAGTAAAATACGTAAAATTTGAATAGATATTTTCAAAATTTTGCTCTGGATTCTATTGATCATAAAAAAGCTTCGGTCTAAATTAAGTAAAATTACATGAAGGTTCGACAAAGTTATACTGATGACTGAAAAATGTTAACCTCTATATAAGACTGTGTCTACTTAATCGTTAACTGTTATACAACTAAGTCCATTTATAAAAACAAAAATAACTATTTTCAAAATTTTGCTTTTGATGCTGTCTTGGGTCTATAGCTTCTGTCCGAATTTCATAACATCCAATGAAGGTTTGACAAATGTATTGATGTCTCAAAAAGCTTAAACCACAGACTGAACCTAAATGCTGACGACGCCGACGCCGACGACGAAATCTAGGGTCGCTATGTTTCGCTTTCATAAATAAAAAGAAATTAAAAAAAATCATATGTTTCTTTTTTATAAAGTAAAACTTAACTTAATATATATGTATTCCTTCACAGTTATGAAAATTAATAATCCTACATCCTTTCGATACAATGGACTTATATTTTGGCATTGCACGTGGTCATGCTTTTCTTAAACTACTTTTTTCATGACTTCCGAATTTACACTAAATTCGTTGAGATTTTAGTGTACGAGACAAGTTCTTTATTTGTCCTTCCCCTTGTCACGCAGGAGCCTGTAATTAAGTGGTTGTTGTCTGTCATATTTGATTTTTTTTATATTTTGTTGCATAAATCAGGTCGTTGGTTTTACTGATCTTTTGAATTGTATCACAATTTGTAATGTTGTCGTGAAAAGTTTAAAAGAGACTATCAAATTAAACCGGTTTTTCCATTGACACCAAAATCACAATCTAAAGGACAAATCAAACATTACGATTTATCAAAGACACCTAATGACGATATTTCTGACACGGGACAGCTAGACACTCTTCCATTTTTAACTTCAGTAGGAACTAGTTTTGGATACTACAACGTTTTTAGATTAAAAAATGTGTGTGGACTGTTAATGTCTGATATTTAGTTGTGTTTTTGTGTCACGGTGTTGCTTTCCAGGGATTCATTTGACCTCATTATAATGCTTTTTTTCTCCTTTTTTTGAGAATATGAGAAGCGTTGCCTTTCTGTTAAAAAACTGTGAATTTTGTTTAGGATTTTTCCGTTTTCACTGCATGTTTATACACGATATTTAAGTTAAAACATTATGACTTTCTATTTCATAGAATATACACACTAAGGGATGTATTGAGTTTACAGTAGAGAATAAAAAAAAATAAATAGAGAAAATGGCATAAAAATTACAGAACAGAACTAAATTGTCCATACAGACACTCGTATATGAAGTTGACAAACTGGTGTTAACACAGTTGCAATCTATCAATCAATCAATAAAAAAAGAAGAAAAAAAAAAAAAAAAAAAAAAACAACGTCACAGAAAAAATATAAACATAAAAAAAAATACCATTATAGAAAAACACCAACAACAAATACAAATCAGAAAACAAAGAGACAATTATAAAAACAAATCAAACATACAACCGTAAAAAAGAAATTAATATTGAATAACAAAAGACAGAGGTCTGCACATAAATCTGCTTGAAGTTCCTTTTAAATTGAAAAAGCTGAACTATTTGTTGTGTGATGTTATTTTTTATGTATTTTAACGCTGAAGCTTTCATTACGCCATTAGTCCGAGATTACGCAGTGTCGATCTTATCTGTAATAAGGAACTTATAAATTCGTGCCCTAAACTCGTCCCAATAATTAGAAATCGATAGTTATCATTTGTTAGATGTTGGTCTGTATAAAACAATGACACTTTTGGTAAACATGTTCTTGTAGTTCTGTGTGTATCTCAAATGTTTTGTACGAATGTAATAATATACGTTCTTTTTTTCACTTATTTTTTTAAAAAGCAAGGATTTGTATAGTGTTATTGTTGAAAGGTACGGACATTTTGGTACGAATTGACCTATTTCTCGAGTTTGCGCATTTCTAACATTCTAACTACAGGAATGTGAAAAGTTTATGTTTTATGAGATATGATCGATGATGTAGCAGTTTAAAACATGTATTTATATCTTAATGGGTTAAAATGACAAAAATATTAATACTCATCAAATCATTCACTCAAATCCACACGGTAAGCCTATAGATTATGATCTGTCACGATCGGAACCCTAAAAATGGCCGATGATGTCTTGGATTCATGTAAACAATGTGTTGACATATCCATTTATCTTTTCGAATCCTGAAACCACGTTGTTGCAAATCATAGAAAACTTATCAGAATCAATGATATTTGGTATGGTTGCTAATAAGACCTATTTAAACATCTGTTTGCCTTTCATACTTCATACTAATCCCTTGTGCAAGTTGTGGGATTCTGAATCCAGAGCGATTTTCTGATTAGAAGATGGCAAACATTTTCCCAAATAGAGTTATTAGGGCTTGATAATGGATTCTGAGGGAGGTCAAATCAGAAATGTCAGACACAGAATCCGAAAACTGATTAGGTACTTCCTCAGAACAGGCAACACAATTTGCAGGGTTTTTATACGACCGCAAAAAAAATTTTGTGGTCGTATATTGGTATGACGTTGGCGTCGTCGTCGTCGTCGTCGTCGTCGTCGTCGTCGTCGTCGTCGTCGTCGTCCGGCGTCGTCGTCCGAATACATATTGGTTTTCGCACTCTAACTTTAGTTTAAGTGAATGGATCTTTTTGAAATTTGACCATAAGGTTAAATACCACAAAAGGAAGGTTGGGATTGATTTTGGGGGTTATGGTACCAACAGTTAAGGAATTAGGGGCCAAAAAGGGGCCAAAAATGAGCATTTTCTAGTTTCCAGACAATAACTGTGGAACGGTGTATGGATCTCTCTGAAATTATACTACAAGTTTCCATACCACAAAGGGATGGTTAGGATTTGCTTTGGGGGGTTATGGCTCAAACCGTTTAGGAATTAGGGGCAAAAAAGGGGGAAAAACAAGGTTGTCCTGGTTAATGGACAAATACTTTAGTACAAAACATAATTTAAAGCAGTGTAAGGGAGATAAATCAAATACATCATTGAAATTATCTCCCTTACACTGCTTTTAAATTATGTATAAAGTAATGGTTAATGAACAATAAAGATAATCTAAAACAGTGTAAGGGAGGTAATCCAAATACAACGTTTTGGTTACTTCCCTTACTCTGCTTTTAAATCATGGTTAAAGAAATGCATATTTATAAAGAAAGACCAGTAAAAATATCTGCAAATGTTTTCATCTTTTTTTTTTACAAAAAAATCCATATGAAAGATTTGACACTATATTTTTATTAATTCTATTATAAAATAGATTAAGTTAGCACTATGGTAAATTTAAATGGGTAATTATGGTTGCCAACTCCATTGGAAATTTGAATTGAGATTATGACCATATCTTGAGGGAAAGAATTTTTTTGGGGGAAAAAGGGGGGGGGGAATAAAAAGAAATTGTGGGGGGCCAATTTTTTCTCATTTCAGATTTCAGAAATTAAAAAGAATTATTCTTCAAATATTATTTTTTTTTCAAATTTCAAATATTGAAAAATTTCAAGAAGTAATCTTTAATTGCACAGTATGGCGCATTAGATTTGTAAAATCTTTGATCACATTTATTTATTTGTTATGCCGAATCTAACAGTGTATTTAGATTTTTAATTTTGGGTCCAGTTTTCAAATTGGTCTACATTAATGTCCAAAGGGTCCAAAATTAAACTTTGTTTGATTTTAGCAAAAATTAAATATATGAGGTTCTTTGATATGCTGAATCTAAACATGTATTTAGATTTTTGATTTTTGGCCCAGTTTTCAAGTTGGTCCAAATTGGGGTCCAAAATTAAACTTTGTTTGATTTCAACAAAAATTGAATATATGGGGTTCTTTGATATGCTGAATCTAACCATGTATTTAGATTTTTTATTTGTGGACCCCGTTATCTAATTGGTTCATATTGAGGTCAAAAGGGTCCAAAATTAAACTTTGTTTGATTTCATCTAAAATTGAATTATTGGGGTTCTTTGATATTCCAAATCTAACCGTGTATTTAGGTTTTTAATTTTGGGTCCTGTTTTTTAAATTGGTCTACATTGAGGTCCAAAGGGTCCAAAATTAAACTTAGTTTGATTTTAACAAAAATTGAATTCTTGGGGTTCTTTGATTTGCTGAATCTAAACATGTGTTTAGATTTTTGATTATGGGCCCAGTTTTCAAGTTGGTCCAAGATAGGGTCCAGTATTTAAACTTTGTTTGATTTCAACAAAAATTGAATATATGGGGTTCTTTGATATGCTGAATCTAACCATGTATTTAGATTTTTTATTTGTGGACCCCGTTATCTAATTGGTTCATATTGAGGTCAAAAGGGTCCAAAATTAAACTTTGTTTGATTTCATCTAAAATTGAATTATTGGGGTTCTTTGATATTCCAAATCTAACCGTGTATTTAGGTTTTTAATTTTGGGTCCTGTTTTTTAAATTGGTCTACATTGAGGTCCAAAGGGTCCAAAATTAAACTTAGTTTGATTTTAACAAAAATTGAATTCTTGGGGTTCTTTGATTTGCTGAATCTAAACATGTGTTTAGATTTTTGATTATGGGCCCAGTTTTCAAGTTGGTCCAAGATAGGGTCCAGTATTTAAACTTTGTTTGATTTCAACAAAAATTGAATATATGGGGTTCTTTGATATGCTGAATCTAAACATGTATTTAGATTTTTGATTATGGGCCCAGTTTTCAAGTTGGTCCAAATTGGGGTCCAAAATTAAACTTTGTTTGATTTCAACAAAAATTGAATATATGATGTTCTTTGATATGCTGAATCTAACCATGTATTTAGATTTTTTATTTGTAGGCCCCGCTATCAAATTGGTTCATATTGAGGTCAAAAGGGTCCAAAATTAAACTTTGTTTGATTTCATCGAAAATTGAATTATTGGGGTTCTTTGATATGCCAAATCTAACCGTGTATTTAGATTTTTAATTTGGGTCCCGTTTTTTAAATTGGTCTTCATTGAGGTCCAAAGGGTCCAAAATTAAACTTAGTTTGATTTTAACAAAAATTGAATTCTTGGGGTTCTTTGATATGCTGAATCTAAACATGTGTTTAGATTTTTGATTATGGGCCCAGTTTTCAAGTTGGTCCAAGTTGGGGTCCAAAATTAAACTTTTTTTGATTTCAACAAAAATTGAATATATGGGGTTCTTTGATATGCTGTATCTAACCATGAATTTAGAATTTTTATTTGTGGGCCCCGCTATCAAATTGGTTCATATTGAGGTCAAAAGGGTCCAAAATTAAACTTTGTTTGATTTCATCAAAAATTGAATTAATGGGGTTCTTTGATATTCCAAATCTAACCGTGTATTTAGATTTTTAATTTTAAGTCCCGTTTTTTAAATTGGTCTACATTAAGGTCCAAAGGGTCCAAAATTAAACTTAGTTTGATTTTAGCAAAAATTGAATTCTTGGGGTTCTTTGATATGCTGAATCTAAACATGTGTTTAGATTTTTGATTATGGGCCCAGTTTTCAAGTTTGTCCAAGTTGGGGTCCAAAATTAAACTTTGTTTGATTTTAACAAAAATTGAATATATGGGGTTCTTTGATATGCTGAATCTAACCATGTATTTTGATTTTGGACATTGGACCATAATAGGTAAATTAAAAAAATTCAAGTTCTTAGACCACATTCTTTCTGTGTCAGAAACCTATGCTGTGTCAAATATTTAATAACAATCCAAATTCAGAGCTGTATCAAGCTTGAATGTTGTGTCCATACTTGCCCCAACTGTTCAGGGTTCGACCTCTGCGGTCGTATCAAGCTGCGCCCCAGCGAAGCATTTTATTAGCTAGGATTTTGATAGTCCAAATAATTATGACGTCTTGAAAGGCTATTTTAATTTTTTTCTGTGACGCCTTCCTACAAGGTCATAGCGCTGAAGCCATTTTTTCCGTCTGGACTTTGAGAGAGAATTTTGGGGGGAACTTTGAGACCTAATTTTGGCACGAAATCTTCATTAACGGTTAGAAAGTTTTGCAAAGATACAATGTCTCACCTTTTTTTGTGCTTATTGGTGCAAAATATTTCCAGAAATATTCAAAAGAAATGATAAAATAAGATACAATTCCATTTGAGGTGGGCAAATATTTATTTTGATTTCAAAATGGTTTCCCAGCAGGCCTCTACATTATCATTTTTTCTAACTTGTCCCTTCGGACAAGTTGCAAGAAAATCAACTTGTCCGAACTCTTAACTCACTTGTCCGAATTCATAATTGAAAATCTTAAATATTGATGATATGCAATAATAACACTTGCGCTTTGATTGTACATAATAAAGGGAGCATTTTGTTATGTTATATGAAAACCACATCAAAATTCATTTTATTATTTCAGACTGAAAGATTATTTGCAAGACTGAGTTCTCTGACTCAATGTCACTATCATGTGTCGATCATTTAATCATCATTTCTTCCCAAACCACTAGGTTCTCCTATGGACCTATTCATTCTGTAGTAGTGGTATGGGTTAAACCAAGGATGTAAATACACCTGGCCACCTCGTATATGATTAAACCTTTTTAATTTATTAATGGTGTCAAAACAAGCTTTTACAATTTATTTTGATTTGTATATACATTGATATATGATCATGAAGTACATAAAACATTTCACTAAAAAATCTGCCTTTTTAGATTTTATTTAATTTTTACATCTTAACTTATTATTTTTATATATAGATCTTATTAAATAAAATATTGTTACGCATAAAAGCAAAATCAAATAAAAAGTACTTTAATTTAAAATTTTAAAGTTGTGGTAAAACTCCATATGGAGGTGCTCCTAATTCAAGGAGGCTTATACTAAGAAGAAGCATTAACATTGGTTTCTTTCCCCCTTATTTATATTCCCCTTGTCAATGGCTGCAAGCATGTTCAAGGAAGAACACCACTAATTCATGGCCCTATTGCTTTCTATGTTAAATTCCTCAATTTCAAGCAGGCACAGCACTTTTGTTTTAAGTTCAAATAAAGTGACAATCATTGCATGTCAAAGCAACACTTTATGGTGCCTTGTACTGAAAAAATCAACATACCTTTAATGGCATATAAGAAAGAACTGGTTCCCGGAACTTCGGATGTACCAAAACAGGTACTCCAGATCTGACAAACAGGAAAAATGTACCCTCTTTTTTTAAATATCATGCAATTTTTTTATTATTCAAAGTTATGTGTCAAAAAGTGTTCTACAATGATCACCAGTCATTCAGCTTTCATTTGATACCAACATTACCTAAATATTCTACATATTTTGAAAGTTACACCCATGCGTAGGAACTATTTTGTGTTAAATATGTACTACTTTCTGGCATGTGCTTTCTGGCCGGGTCCGAATTAGTGGTGTTACACCTCAAATACGTTCAATCAGAGACATATTATACAAGTATTATATGTCTCTGGTTTAATCAATGAATATTTATTTCATCTAGTATGATCAATAAAACAATCATTCATATTTTTGGAAATGTATACGTCTTGAATTTGATCTATTTTACATCTGACCTCGATTTTTCACTTGTCCCATCGGACAAGTAGTATGGTGAATCTACTTGCCCGACACCTGTGTCCACTTGTCCCAGACAATCGGACAAACGGTAATGTCGAGCCCTGCCCAGAATTTCCAAGATGAATATAGAATATCAAACTCGGTAAAATTTGGCAGAATTGAATTTCCAGATAATATAAATCGACGTTCCTGAAATTCGGGTCCATTGGACTAGGATTTTGAGGGCTTTAGTCGCTATTGTGTGAGATGAAAATCAACCTTATTTTGGGTAACAGCAAGGGACCAAGGACATATATTACCAGCTTCTTCTTCTTAAGTCTTATAATGTATTAAAATATGAAAGTGTGGTATGATTGCCAATGAGACAACTCTCCACAAGAGACAAATTGACACAGAAATTAACAACTATAGGTTACTGTACGTCCAACAATGAGTGTATTTTTATGAGTGAAAAAACCCACCATCATATTACCTTAATTCATAGTCATATGTAACATTTTATGGTGTGTCAAGGGGATTTGGGGTTAATTTAAGTAATTTTGAGTTATTTCCCTTTGTTCCATGTTGGAGGGCAATTCTACTTGTTTTACTGGCTGAAGGATTTTGGAAAAAAATTGTTTCTGAATGTTTTTCAATTGTTTTAAAGCCATGTAATTTGTTACTACTTTCTAGTAAGGATCTTTTATCAGACTTGCTCGTAAAACATGTTCAAATTTAGCAGTGTTTAGTGTTGGGAATTGGCTTGAATATGATCATGGATTAATTGGAATAATTAGACAGTATGCTTCGATTCAATTTCCCATTACAATCAGCTTTTCATTAATATGAAAATGTATTTAGTAACACAATACTCCCAGTTCTGTAAGGGCTAAGACATAAGTATAATTTTGCTTTTGACTCATAGAGGTCTAAATTTGTATGTCTTATCATGTTTATGGGTTGTCTTCCTATATGTTAATTAAAAAAAAAATAAGACTTCAACAAGTCAATCAATGTTTCAGCAGAAAATATTGACCTTAATCAAAATGTTGCGAAATTTGACTTCTTTAAGTTGATAAGTTACCACGTTTGGCTAACTTCAAGACCCATGTATAAATATTAAAAGGTCAAGCAACAAAATCAAATTGTGTCAACATTGATAGGCAATATTTTGTCTTATGAAGAAAAATATGAGTGAGAGTCGAAAAAATCGTATTCAATATTTATTCACACTTTAATGAAACCATTTATAACCACTGAAAATGTAAAAAAAAATTAGGCCATAAAAAAGAATATGTTTGTTTGCCCTAACCCTACCTACCCAGAAAATAGCTGCCTACTCAAAATTTTTTATTGTCCAGATGTGAAAAGTTTTTTTTTTAATCAGATAGGCATGAAGACTAAAAAACATCTGACACTTCAATTCCTCTTTATCGAAAAAAAAGAAAAGAAAATGCCTACCTACCTACCTACTGTCTCTACCTTTGGGTAGGTTTTGGGCAAACCAAAATATTTTTAAGTGTGGCCTTAGATAAATTCCCTTGAAATACATTATTTATGAGGACAATTTCATAACATAAATATTATTAATAAGTGGATTACATATATATTGTTCTCTTTTTAATTTTATATTTTTGTTTTGCAGTAGATGATTTTATCTTAGAAGAAAATTATGTCGTTATTTAAAGCTCGAGACTGGTGGTCAACAACCGTCGGAGAAGATGAAGAATTTGATCAAGGTTGTCTGTGTGTTGGCAACTTAGATAACGCTGAAGATGAATTAGGTATGAAATTTGACAATATAGATTTTATGCCAATTTAAAAATCTTAAGTTATACTGAAAATTTAGAAGAAGAAATTCTATGATTACATCTCAGTCTTCACGCTAAACTTTTGAATCTACAGGCCCGAAGCTGAATTTTACAAAAATTTTAGTTAGATTATATTGGCCTGTAGATATGATTTTTACAGGCCTGACAGCATTTTTACAAGCTTGGACTGGTGGGCCTGTGGTTGAGTGCGAAGACTGACATCTATAACAAGATGAGGCAGTAACTCAACAATATGTGTTGGTCAATTGGAAAAGGAGAAAGCAACACTATTTGAATTTTGGCTTTGTGCCATAAAATTATGTCTATGTGTGTTTCTAACTTGTATGTTTTGAAAGTACTCTTACATGTTCATGGATTGTTGAAAAGTTAGTTCCTGGGTTCATTAATTTAAGCTTTAGACCTTATACAAGAGTACTAACAAATCAGTGAGAATATGCATTAAGCATGTTTAGTTTGACGTGAGAATTTGATCAGCTACACAATCCAGGATTTTTTTTCTTTTTTTATGTAAACTAACAGTTTCTCATGTATATATTTTTTTTGTTTTAGATAAAATAATAATTGGTAGTTATCATGGAATATTGAGAGTATTCAACCCTCGCCCTACTAAAACAGATGATGGATGGTCCGGATACAGACCAGAGGATGTCATGCTGGAATACTCTTTACAACACCCCATCTTACAGATAGAAGCTGGAAAATTTGCTTCGTAAGTTTATTTTATTCTCTCACTGGAAAAAAATGGATTTAGGGTAAATGAACATGAGATTTTAAATAGAAAACTAAAGGTTAATTCCATTGCTCTTTATCATCTTGATATTATAGTTCCATTATTCTGAAAACATTAAGCATTATTGCATCTATTGAAGAAGTCTTGCAATTGTATATATATTGATTTGATTGAATTTGAAAGTTATTCTGGTCTTTTACCCTTCATTTCATGCAAATATCACATTATAGTACATGTATCACCAATTCTGAGAATTACATACACAGTTTTATGTAGGAAAACTCCTGCCTCATACCGAAGTCAAATTGATTACAATTTCATTATTTCAACGTAAAAACATCCCATGTACAAGAAATTAGAATTTAATTACCAAGCCTTTCATATGAAAATTAACAATATTGAAAAGGATAAAAATTTGTTATTCATTTCTACGACTTTGATGTAATCAAGTTTAAATTTGAAGTGTTTATGGTGTCTTGTCATGTTTAAATAAAAAAGCCTTACAATATTTTTTATTTTCTATTTTTCAGGAGTACAGAAAGTATACACATAGCGATTTTACACCCCAGAAAGTTAGCAGTGTATAATGTATATGGTAAGACAAATTAGTAAATTTAGTGAGCGAAGGATGTTTGATACTGATATTCAAATTAACAGCATTTTTAAAATTCAATTTCAATAAATAATATAAATTGAATCAGAATTATGGAAAAATAAAGACAGTTCCATGTGGTTTTTAGGTACAAACATTTACGAACTTAAATATTATTTCCCGAAAAAAGTCTTGGGGTGGTACATTGTGTTGTAAAAGCAGCTATTTTATCAGAAATGTATTTTAGAAATATACTTGTCGATGGAAAAAAATAATGCCTTGTTGTTTATTTCTAATAATGAATTTGTGGTTTGTTTTATCATAACTCTTCTTTGGACTTGCCTTTCTCATAATTTTTATTATACCCCGCTTTAAAAAAGTGGGGAATACTGTTTTACACCTGTCTCTCCGTCCATCCGTCCCATGAATATTTTTCGTCGCATCTTTCTCAGGAACTACATTACAAGGATTTTTGAAATTTGGTTTCAGGGTTTATATAAGTCAGCTATACCGTGTGATTTGTTTTCAGATTCATCACTCAACAACTTCCTGTTTACCGAACACTTGTATCATTTTACACATGATAGCCAAGTTGAAAATTTTCATCACATTTTTCTCAGGAACTACAATACAAGGATTTCTGAAATTTGGTTTCAGGGTTTATATAAGTCAGCTATACCGTGTGATGCGTTTTCAGATTCATCACTCAACAACTTCCTGTTTACCAAACACTTACATATTTTTACACTATTAAAATTATCCACTTGCGGCGGGGGTATCATTAGTGAGCAGTAGCTCACAGTTTCACTTGTTTTCTTCTGCATGAAAAAAGGTGACAGTGAGTGATGATATCACACAGAAGTCAATATATCATGTATATTGCCTATACATATTGTCAAAAATTAGAAGAGGAACAGATACTCATCTAAAATGGGGTCTCATGCAATACAATATTTCACAAATCAACAAATAGAAAAACAACTTAAATTGCTTGCATTTGACAATTATCCATTTAGCTGTCTCAAATGTATACCTATCCCATCTTACTCTAGGCAGTAGTATGTAGTAGAATGTATATGTATTCTTATTTTTATATGTAATCTTATTTTATATGTATTCTTATTTTTATATGTATTTTTATTATTATATGTATTTTTTGTACAGCTTCTGTTGGTTCAGTAGAACATGGTAAACATTACCAGTTAAAGTTGGCCTATGAACACAATTTACAGAGGACAGCATTTAATTTTTGTTTTGGACCTTTTGGTGCAGTGAAAGGTAAGTTGAATATTTCTGCCCCATCTATTGGAATTTGGGATTCTGGCGGATTTAATGATTTATTAAACACTACATCAGCTGATTTGTGCAATGTTGCCCAGAGAACAAATTTCGTGCAATTAAAGTAAGATTACTTTTCATCTTTCCCCATCTGAATTTGATTATTTTTTGTTTTTATACGCCCATTTACGGGACATATTATGGTATACCTCTGTCCATCTGTCCATCCATCCGTCTGTCCGTCCGTCGTCAACATGTCGGACATTAACTCAAAAACGCTTTAACCAATTTGCATAAAACTTTAGTGAATTGTTTATGTTTTTTGACGTGAGCTCCCTCTTGTTTTTTATAAATTTTAGATTTTACGTTTCCGAGTTATAGGGTTTTATTCATTAAAAAAAGGGGGATTTTCCAGTTTTCGGACAATAACTCAAGAATGCTTTCACCAACTTGCAAGAAATTGTGGTGAATAGTTTATATCTATTGACATGAGCTCCCTTTCAATTTTTATATATTTTAGATTTTACGTTTCCAAGCTACAGGGTTTTATTCATAAAAAAAGGGGGATTTTCCAGTTTTCGGACAAAAAATCAAAAATGCTTTCAGCAGTTCTTATGAAACTTTGGTGAATTGTTTATATCTATTGATGTAAGCTCCTTTAGAATTTTATAAATTTTACATTTTACATTTCTGAGTTATGGGGTTTTATTCATTTAAAAAGGGGGGATTTTCCAGTTTTCGGACAATAACTCAAAAATGCTGTCAGCAATTCTCATGAAACTTTGGTGAATTGTTTATATCTATTGATGTAAGCTCCCTTAACATTTTCATAAATTTCTAATATGACATTGAGAATGAATTGAACTTTAATTGTTTATAGTCTGACAACAGATTTACTAAGTATTGCGCAACAGCACAGTGTATTGCACAACAGCAAGAAATCTTTATTTGAATATAAATTCAATTCATATAACCAATTTCAAGTTCTTTGACTACATTTATTCAGAAACCTATAATATGTCAAATATTTAATACAATCCAAATTCAGACCTGTATCAAGCTTGAATATTGTGTCCATTTTTGCCCCAACTGTTCAGGGTTGGACCTCTGTGGGCGTATCCAGCTGCGCTCAGCGAAGCAGTTTATTTTTGTCGAGCCTGCGACTTTTGTCGCAGAAAGCTCGACATAGGGATAGTGATCCGGCGGCGGCGGCGTTAGCTAACTTCTTAAAAGCTTTATATTTTAGAAGGTGGAAGGTCTGGATGCTTCATACTTTGTATATGGATGCCTCATGTTACGAAGTTTCCGTCAGTCACATGTCCAATGTCCTTGACCTCATTTTCATGGTTCAGTGACTACTTGAAAAAAAAGTTAAGATTTTTTGTAATGTTAGATTCTCTCTTATTATAAGTAATAGGATAACTATATTTGGTATGTGCGTACCTTGCAAGGTCCTCATGCCCGTCAGACAGTTTTCACTTGACCTCGACCTCATTTCATGGATCAGTGAACAAGGTTAAGTTTTGGTGGTCAAGTCCATATCTCAGATACTATAAGCAATAGGTCTAGTATATTCGGTGTATGGAAGGACTGTAAGGTGTACATGTCCAACTGGCAGGTGTCATCTGACCTTGACCTCATTTTCATGGTTCAGTGGTTATAGTTAAGTTTTTGTGTTTTGGTCTGTTTTTCTTATACTGTATGCCATAGGTCTACTATATTTGGTGTATGGAATGATTGTAAGGTGTACATGTCTAGCGGCAGGTGTCATCTGACCTTGACCTCAGTTTCAAGGTTCAGTGGTCAAAGTTAAGTATTTGAGTTTTGGTCTTTTTTTCTAATACTATATGCAATAGTTCAACTATATTTGGTATGTGCGTACCTTGCAATGTCCTCATGCCGGTCAGACAGTTTTCACTTGACCTTGACCTCATTTCATGGATCAGTGAACAAGGTTAAGTTTTGGTGGTCAAGTCCATATCTCAGATACTATAAGCAATAGGTCTAGTATATTTGGTGTATGGAAGGACTGTAAGGTGTACATGTCCAACTGGCAGGTGTCATCTGACCTTGACCTCATTTTCATGGTTCAGTGGTTATAGTTAAGTTTTTGTGTTTTGGTCTGTTTTTCTTATACTGTATGCCATAGGTCTACTATATTTGGTGTATGGAATGATTGTAAGGTGTACATGTCTAGCGGGCAGGTGTCATCTGACCTTGACCTCATTTTCATGGTTCAGTGGTCAAAGTTAAGTTTTTTGAGTTTTGGTCTTTTTTTCTAATACTATATGCAATAGTTCAACTATATTTGGTGTATGGAAATATTTTATGATCTATTTGGCAGTCAGGCAGGTTTTATTTGACCTTGACCTCATTTTCAAGGTTCATTGCTCAGTGTTAAGTTTTTGTGTTTTGGTCTGTTTTTCTTAAACTATAAGCAATAGGTCAACTATATTTGTTGTATGGAAGAATTGTTAGCTGTACATGCCTGCCTATCATGGTTCATCTGACCTTGACCTCATTTTCATGGTTCATCGGTCAGTGTTTAGTTTTCTTGGTTAATGTTAAGTTTATGTGACAGTTGTAATAAAGCTTTATATTTAGGACTATCAACATAATATCAATGATTAGTAAAGAAGGCGAGACATTTCAGCGTGTGCACTCTTGTTTTAGATTTAATTTAGCCTTCAAGGCAAAAAATGTTAGGTAGTAGTGAATTAGGGAAATGCAAATTTTGGCAAAAATATCAATAAAGTACAGATCCATATAAGTGTGGGGGGCGGAGGCTATCTAGTGGATGTAGAAGACTTGTTTTCAAATTTATGCTTTTTATCCTTAAACTTAATAATTGCAATCAAACCATAATAATACAAAAATATTTTAAAGATTTTTGTTCAAGTCAATTCTGTATTACTTCTATACATAATTTGTTATGCTCCCGCCGTAGGCAACGGGGGCATTTAGTGTTACCCCTGTCCGTCCAATCTGTTTCCACACTCTAACAAGTTTTCCTCATCCAAGTTTTATGAAACTCATACACAGTACTAAGAACCAGACTAGCAGACAGTTTGAATTTGGGCAGCGACTCACTTACCTTTTGTGAGTTATGGCCCTTTTTAACTTTTTAAAATTGCTAAGCTTGAGTGGGGGCATTCGTGTCGTCAGACACATTCTTCTTTTATTTTTTATATCTTAGAAATGATTAATAATTACATTTGTTTAAGGAACATATGTAATTGTTTTTGGCTACAAATTATAAATAACTTCAAGTCTTTAATACTGGTTAATACATAAATAGTTTATTCTGTAACTGATTTATTTTGCTCAACCAATGTAAACATTTATCTTTTTCAGGAAGAGATTTTATTTGTGTGCAATCTATGGATGGGACATTGTCATTTTTTGAACAAGAAAGTTTTTCATTTAGTCGGTTTTTGCCTGGAGCATTGTTACCAGGACCAATAAAATACATTCCAAAACTAGACAGCTTTGTGACAGTCTCATCATCCTGGCAAGTGGAATGTTACAAGTAAGAATTGTTTACATTTAACAGGGTGTTTTTGGATTGGTCATTTTAATGCAATTTAGGCAAATCTTTACGCAAAATTAATTAATTTGTGAAAAAGTATTCGAAAGGGCAAGTTGATAATTTGGGGGATTCTGCATGTTTTGGATTAAATTCTCATTTGGAATTGAGTCTTTTAACCAGACCCTGAGAAATGCTAGAAAATTCATTGTTAGTTCAGTTTTCTGCATGACAGCTTAATCATCACCACAAATTGAATATAATAACATTCCAAATTTCCCACATCCTATTCAAGTTGCACAAATTTGCAGAATACACCTTATCGCTATTTGTCCGCCATTACTGGACATCACACAGGTTCCCGTAAAATTTTGACGTCATAATACCAAATGACTGACGCCACAATGGAAAAGTGATTGTTGTATGACGTCAAAAGTTCGAGCGGGACAGATTCTCGGGTCAAGCGGGATTAGCGATAAGGTGTATTACCTACTGGACTTATTGTTAATCTTTCTTGATGGATAGTTCATAAAACATATATCATCCTGAACATGTATGAAATATTTGCCACTGGACATTAAGCAACCAACAATCAATCAATCATAAAACATATGCCACTGGATGTTAAGCAAACAACCAATAAAAAGAATGATTAAAATATATACTGTGGATACATTATTATTTGTGGGGTACCGATTTTCTTGTATTTCGTTATTGTAAGTAATTCATGAATTGGACTACTCAACTGAGAACAAATTTTCTATAGACTTGTATTTAATATTTGACAAAACCATGAAATCTAGTATCTACGTAAATACAATTATTCTTCAATCCAAAAAAAACTGGCACCAACGAGAATAAATGAATCTGCAGTATTCTGAAATTAATAACCCTATAATAATGCAGAATGTAATCTTTATTGTTTTTATGCCCCACCTACGATAGAAGTGGGGGCATTATGTTTTCTGGTCTGTGCATCCGTCCGTTTGTCTGTCCGTCCGTCTGTCCAGCTTCAGGTTAAAGTTTTTGTCAAGGTAGTTTTTACTGAAGTTGAAGTCCAATCAACTTGAAACTTAGTACACATGTTCCCTATGATATGATCTTTCTAATTTTTATGCCAAATTAGAGTTTTGACCCCAATTTCACGGTCCACTGAACATAGAAAATGATAGTGCGAGTGGGGCATCTGTGTACTATGGACAGTGCGAGTGGGGCATCTGTGTACTGTGGACACATTCTTGTTTTTTCAGATATCAAGTGCTTGCAACTGCAGTTGATGCAAAAACAAAAGAAGAATCTCAAAATATAAAGTCTGGGAAACGGGTAACGGTAAGTTGTTGATATTAACAGTTAGTTAGAGAGGAAAAGTTGATTTGCTAATTAATAGCACATTGATGATAGAGGAAAGTATAGTAGATTAAAACAAAAGTACCAAGAAGGCACAATTGCTCAGGAATCATCATGGACTTTCTCTGCATTAATTTTCATTTTCTAGTACTTCGCATATTTGTCAGCTTCTGTATTAAGAAATGGTTTGATAAAGGTCTGGAACTTGACAATATTGAGTTGTACTGTGTTTGCAATTTTCAGATCTACCCGGCAGTCACTTATGTTTGATGATACTGTGAATTTTTAGCTTTGCCCAGTGAACATGGAATTTTTGTCAGTCTAATTATGAGTAGGATATGCTTTGCATGACATCCCTTGCGACTTGTTGTTCATTTTTGTAAACAAATTGAACAGTATGGTTCAAGCTGCTTGTTTTACAGGTAAATAAAGAAAAGTACTTTGGACACCTAATTTATAAAGTCACTTTCATTACTTTTGAAATTAACTCCATAGTAATCAAAACTGGCACAAAGATTTACAGATAATGTTAAGAAATATCACACCATGTATTGTTTGTAATTACTGAAATTTCCCCTATTTTAAAGTAAAATTTCATTTAAAAAAATTTGTTTGCTTTTTCAGTTCGATTGGTCATGCAATATAGGAGAACCTGCATTAGATATAGCTGTGATAAGTTATCCTAATGTTCCACCATCTTTATTGATACTGGGTGAGTTCTGCATTGAGTTCATACATAGGGCTATTTGTGTCTTTTGTCTTTTCTTTATCACAAAACATGTTGTTTTGAAAAAGTGTGACTTACCAAAAAAATGATAAAATATGCAGATTATGAAGATGTGTTTTCTTACTAAACATGCTAATCTTGACCACTTCAGTTGAAATGTACACGTAATAATCACAAGGCATTTCATGTTTAATCGCTTTCCAACTGGTTCTTTACAAAACTAATAATTTGTTATTAGAAAAATGAAATATTTTATATTACTGAAAATTTAGAAATTATTTCAAGATTTTTATACGACCGCAAAAAAATTTTTGTGGTCGTATATTGGTATGACGTTGGCGTCGTCGTCGTCGTCGTCGTCCGAAGACACATTGGTTTTCGCACTCTAACTTTAGTTTAAGTGAATGGATCTTTATGAAATTTTACCACAAGGTTCAATACCACAAAAGGAAGGTTGGGATTGATTTTGGGGGTTATGGTAATAACAGTAAAGGAATTAGGGGCCAAAAAGGGGCCAAAAATAAGCATTTTTGTAACTTCCAGACATAACTTGTGTGTTAGTGTATGGATCTCTCTGACATTGTACCACAAGGTTCCATATCACTAAAGGAATGCTGGGATTGATTTTGGGGGTAATTGCCTCCAAATTTTAGGAATTAGGGGCCAAAAAAGGGGCAAAAAACAAGCATTTTTCTAGTTTCATGACAATAACTTGTGTGTAAGTGTATGGATCTTTCTGAAATTGTACTACAAGGTTCCATATCACAAAGGGAAAGCTGGGTTTGAGTTTGGGGGTAATTGCCCTAAACGTTTAGGAATTTGGGGCCAAAAAGGGGCCAAAAAACACATTTTTTTCTAGTTTCCAGACAATAACTTGTGTTCAAGTGTATGGATCTCTCTGAAATTGTACTGCAAGGTACCATACCACAAAGGGAAGGCTGGGATTGAGTTTGGGGGTGATGAATCATAATGGGGGTTCAAAAGATTTTGGGGGGGGATTTATTTTTTTTTCCTTTTTTTTCTTTTTTTCCTTTTTTGTTTCTTTTTTAAATTTTCCATTTTAAGTTGGTTATTTCTGATTTATATTTAAAATCAAATAATAATGATATGGTAGGAGATACACACCAAACAGGATGTGTAAATTATTATATAATAAGTATTGTGCAATAGCAAGAAATTTTCAATTGCACAGTATTGCACAATAGCAAGAAATCTTCAATTGCACAGTATTGCGCAATAGCAAGAAATCTTCAATTGCACAGTATTGCGCAATAGCAAGAAATATCCAATAGCACAATATTGCGCAATAGCAAGAAATTGTCAATTGTACAGTATTGCGCAATAGCAAGAAATATTTAATAGCACAGGATTGTGCAAAAGAAGATACTTCCTATAAATTGCTTATTTCTTGACCAATTTCAATGGGGTTTTATTCTTGATTTCATGGGGTTCTTTAATATGCTGAATCTAACCGTGTATTTAGTTTTTGGATTTTGGGCCCCGTTTTTAAATTGGTCCACATTGAGGTCCAAAGGGTCCAAAATTAAACTTTGTTTGATTTCATCAAAAATTGAATTATTGGGGTTCTTTGATATGCCGAATCTAACTGTGTATTTAGATTCTTAAATTTTGGTTCCATTTTCAAATTGGTCTACATTAAGGTCCAAAGGGTCCAAAATTAAACTTAGTTTGATTTTAACAAAAATTGAATTCTTAGGGTTCTTTGATATGCTGAATCTAAACATGTATTTAGATTTTTGATTATGGGCCCAGTTTTCAAGTTGGTCCAAATTGGGGTCCAAATTAAACTTTGTTTGATTTCAACAAAAATTGAATATATGGGGTTCTTTGATATGCTGAATCTAACCATGTATTTAGATTTTTGATTTTTGGGCCCCGTTATCAACTTTGTCCACATTGAGGTCAAAAGGGTCCAAAATTAAACTTTGTTTGATTTCATCAAAAATTGAATGATTGGGGTTCTTTGATATGCCAAATCTAACCGTGTATTTAGATTCTTAATTTTTGGTTCCGTTTTCAAATTGGTCTACATTAAGGTCCAAAGGGTCCAAAATTAAACTTAATTTGATTTTAACAAAAATTGAATTCTTAGGGTTCTTTGATATGCTGAATCTAAACATGTATTTAGATTTTTGATTATGGGCCCAGTTTTCAAGTTGGTCCAAATCGGGGTCCAAAATTAAACTTTGTTTGATTTCAACAAAAATTGAATATATGGGGTTCTTTGATATGCTGAATCTAACCATGTATTTAGATTTTTGATTTTTGGGCCCCGTTATCAACTTTGTCCACATTGAGGTCAAAAGGGTCCAAAATTAAACTTTGTTTGATTTCATCAAAAATTGAATTCTTGGGGTTCTTTGATATGCTGAATCTAACCATGTATTTAGATTTTGGATATTGGACCATAATAGGTGAATGTCCAATTTAAAATTTTTAAGTTCTTAGACCACATTCAATCTGTGTTAGAAACCTATGCTGTGTCAAATATTTAATCACAATCCAAATCCAAAGCTGTATCAAGCTTGAATGTTGTGTCCATACTTCCCCCAACTGTTCAGGGTTCGACCTCTGCGGTCGTATCAAGCTGCGCCCTGCGGAGCATTTTATTATTTATGTGAATAATGCGACTGGGTGAGTATCGCAATAATAAGTTCTTGCATTTTAAAATCTATCAGTTACATGTATCTGTTTATAGCTATTCTTAAAATCGCAATAATAATTTTGTTCCTTTTTTCAAAAATCGCAATAATAAATGCACACAATAATTTCTGAAATTAATAGTAAAATCTTTAACTTGTTATTTTATTATTAAATTAGATATTCCTAAAGTTTAATGAAAATAGCACTTTATAAATTTTGTGAGTTTTAAACGCTTACATGATTTATCTTCATCAGAAACAATCAAACTTGAATAACATTTGAGGGCCAGGGATGTAAAAATACCTAGAAATGTTTGGAGCTATATGACCAAACAGAAACTAAAAAAATACCAAAATTTCTAAGGTCAATGTTGACTGAGGGAGTTTAAGATTTTAATATAAAACTTATTTTTGTAGGTGAAAGAAATATATTTTGTGTAGCCGAGAATGGAAAGTTAAGATATATGAAAAAGTTTGATTATGATCCAAGTTGTTTCATTCCACATGGATCAAGTAAGTAAAATGTCTTCAGAGTGTACAGTATAATACGCATCCCCTGTACCATCTATACGTCTTGGGTAAAAAAGTGTGTATGACACATGCCCATATATGGTACGTTTCAGAATCTTACGACTATCCCATAAAGTTTCCTTCATATCTTCACACATCCATATTAATAGAATAGCCCTAAAGGACTAACATAATTTCATTGTACAGCAGTTAAATATAATTTTCTCTTTTTGACCTGTACATTTATTTAATTGTTAGGTTTCAATCATTTGAAAAGAAGTGAATTCACATCTTGATATATTCTATAAACAGTATGATTTGTTATGTGAGAAAAGGGTTTAGATGTAGAGACAAAACATCTGTTAAGTAAGTACTAGTAAATGACCTATATCACAAAGTTACAATGTTTTTATTGCTGTTCTTCATGAAGATAGTACCTTGAAGGTTACGCTTTTCACTAAGACAAAAACAGTCTTTTACGTCAATTTAAGCAGTATTTTTTTACACAGTTCAATAGTCAAAAGGGTTATTTACTTTTGAATTTTTTTTTCAAAGGCCATTTGTTTGGTTTTTTTTTCCTGGAAAAATTTATGCATGAAATTATACAGGTGCATAAATAACAACTTTTATGTATTTTCTGTACAAAAATGTAAAACTTTTGGTTCTTTTACGAAAATTCAGAACATTTTTAAATAACCTGATTACAGAATAGGATAAAAGAAAAAAAAAATACCATGTGTGTGATCAAACACTATAAGTTGACAAACAAATCCATGTCCAAAAGAAAAAGATCTAAAGACAAAGAATATTCCACAAAACACTACACAAATATAGATTGAGCAACACGAAGCCCTGCAAAAAGTGAGGGGTGAACTCATGTGCTCTGGAAGGGTCAGCAATTGCAGGTCCACTAGTGTTACACCTATAAAATCTATTTATGAAAGATATCCAGTGATAAGGCATTGTTGTCTAACCCTAAAACTTTACTGAACTTTTAAGCAATCTTTTTATGTTTATGGAAATGATCTAACCCTTACACAAAGCCAGTTATGATTTATAAGCAATATTGTTTGGATGTTTTAATTGAGAAAATGACTTGTGTTTCAGTGCAAGAAGGGACTATAAGTTACCTAGTTGGCACACATACCAAGTCTTTAATGGTATTTCAAGATGTCATGTTAAAATGGTCAGCCAAGCTTGATCATGTGCCTGTACAGATATGTTTAGGATCTTTTTCGTAAGTATTTCTAAAAAAATTACGAATAGTTATACAGGCTTTACAGAAATGTTTTTTAAGGTTGAATAAGTTGGTAGAAAATTAAAAAAAAAATTAGGCTAATGTTAGGTTTGTTGCTCATCTTAAACCCTTTATATCTGATAGTTAAAATGGTCTGTGAAGGAATGGTATATTAATAAATATGTTCAAATTTTTTTCATCTAACAGTATGTTAACTTTTTTGGACATTTTGCTAAATTAAAAAAAAATTGAAGCCAAATTGATAAAAGAACATGTCATCTTAACCCTGTAAACTGGAAAATTGAGTATTTAAACAAATTTATCACCGCCTTAGTATATATCTCGGATTTTGATTGGCTAATGCACGTCATTAAAAAACCTATAGGCCGGGGTGTTGCTTACTCATATACCCGGATGTTGCTACCCATTACCCCGGGGAACTTCACGCCTGTTTTCCTTAGTTCCATGGTTGTTCCTGGTGTAAAATTGAATTATGTAGATGATCCATGATGTCTGAAATCAGAATATGTAATCCACTAACGATTCTATCCTATTATGCCGTTTAAGTAAATGCATCACTTAGCCGCCACATTGTTTATGAACAGGACTACTGGCCTAGCTATGCAAATGATTCACGTGACGTTACACTGTCTATGACGTAACGCTCGCAACATTGAGCGCCAAATTTGATTCCAGTTTCTTTGTCTCTTAATTAAAAAACGTCTTATATTTGACTACATGTAGGGCTCTACCAAAGGTAGTAAGTACCCTACACCCCGTAGAAAATATGTCAAATGCCTAAATTTCAATAAAACTTTTTTAAATAATAAACAAAACATTGCTTTCAAGTTACACTTTGTGCTTGAATTTCCCTAAAAATCATCAGATTCGGACTAAGACTGGGGATAAATTCGTTATCTAAGTTCATCTAAGGTATCTTCAGTACCCTGTACACCTTAGGCTTTGCCTCAGGATGTACTTGGATACTTCAGGGTGTTGAAATACCCATATCTACGGATATGAATGTAGATTACTTATATTCTGAAGTTCTTACCTTATGTTTAACAAAATCATAAATCTAGGTGAGCCTTATCAACTCATATTTCATCAATTTGTAAAAGATAAACAGTTTATTTCATACTTTTATCAAGAATTTTATTTTTATTTTACTCAACAATTCAAGTGAATCAGTTTACATATTGAGTAAAATGTCTTTTGTTTATTTCAGTGGACTGAAGGGTGTAATAGTAACTTTAAGTGATAAGGGTCGGTTAGATTGTTCCTACCTGGGAACAGATCCTGCTCTGTTTATTCCACCAACGACAGAAGCCAGAGAATTGAATTATGATGAATTAGATAGAGAAATGGCTTCACTACAACAGAGAATTAAAAAATCTGCTCACAAATCAGGTATTTACTGGAAACTTAATGTTTAGATTAACTATTGTTCTTGTTTTTTTACCATATGCTATATTATAGATTTTATTTATAGCTATTTCACTGACATAGAAATTGAAAATTCAAGCATAGTATAAATTTTGTGGCTTTCTTCATCAAAAGTTCGCTTATAAAAAATCGTTCTGAGTTTTTTTTTAATGCCCTCGCCGCTAGACAAAGGGAGCATTAAGTGTTACGCTTGACCTTCTGTCCATCTTTCCTTCCTTCTGTCTGTCTCATTTTCATTCCTTCACTCTAACTCTAATCCAAATTTTATGAAACTCATACACAATGTTAAGAACCAAAACTCTCAGACTGAGTTAGAATTTGGGCACTGAGTCACTTATCGTTCTAGAGTACTGCCCCTTATTTACTTGGAAATTGCAATTTTTTTCGTTTCTCACTCTTAAGATTGCTTCAACCAAATGTTATGAAACTGATAAACAATGCTTATTACCTTCAAACACAGATTAAGTTAGAAATTGGGTGACGTCTCTTTCACTGTTCTTGAGTTATGACCCTTTGAAAATGGAAAAATTGCAGAATTTGCCATTTCTGCATGCTAACTTAACTTTGCCTCAACCAAATGTTATAAATCTTATACAAAATGATTATTACCACCAAACATAGATCAACTTCATTTATTTTTAGCTACACATTGAACCAATGTACTATAGTAATCAAGATAAAAATACAAAAAGTAAAACATAAAAAATGCTAATGAAATATATTTCACTGAATATATATGCATGTACCATTCAAATTTTTCTGTGCATGGTTCAGAATATTTTGATGTGCATATCTATTACTGAAAATGATAAAATTCAATTATGTATTTTCAGTGATTACACCTAATTTGAAACAAGAAGATGATTTGACGATATTTGTATCCCCTAACCCAGGCTTTGATGAAGTTTCTGTAAGTATATTGGAGCCTTTAAGGATAAAGATTTGATCACCAGAGACTTATTTTAGATTTTGAAAGGGAGATAAGGCATTGTAAAATCTAGAAATTTTTGTTGACTGTGGTGGCAAAATCTGCCAAGCATCTGGAGGCACACAGTTTTCACATTTTTGGGGAAGATACATGACATTTATAACATTTTCATAGGCCATTGGTTTTCTCTTTTGAATGTTTAACATTTTGTCATTCGCAGGTATTTTATTACTTATAATAAAGTATGGTTTTTGTTCATGGTTTAAGGTTGTATAGTGTAATTGTTCACATCTTTGTACATGATTATTTGATGGATATTTATCTCATTGGCAACATACCACATTTTCTTGTTTATATGTTTTGATTTTTATTGCTTAATCCTCTTTGGAAAACAGATATATTTTGAAATAATTTTACGTAGGGTACCAAATATCTTCTACATCTTACATTTTCAGTGGAAAACTTGTTATACTAATTCTTGACACATTTATTTGTTTACAGACTGCCAGTGGAGTAGAATTCCAGGACTCAGATCCTATTCCGTCCATATCTGTCAGGGTAGGTAGTGGTTCAAGATGTTAAACAAGTGACTTACAAAATCATACAGAATTGATTCATGTAAATACCGTTAAAAGGCTTGTATAGTCCGCGGTTTTATTCTCCAAAATTGACCCTGACAGCAGGGGTGCGGACTATAGAGTACAATAAGCAAGAAATGAGAGAAATTTCAATTTCGTGATGTGGTTTGTTTGCGTTCCGCCATGTTTGTTATTGACATTGTAGAGGGCACTCTTATCATTTTTCAAACCAACAATTTTACCCAATCCATATTAATAAGTTATTTTTATTCAATATCAAATTAATACTGATAAATTTAAAAATTAAATGCTTCATTACAAAATTCTCTTTTCTTTTCAATGCATTGCTAAATATAAACTGGTATCTGCTTGAATGAAATCGTACAAAAAAAGTAAAAAAAAAACGTAAACTAGCTTACAATGTGTAAACTACAAAACGTAATCGGTTATTATTCGTTCTGTTTTGGTGTTTCCTATTGACAAATATGTTTTGTATTAGCTTAAGACCCTTCAAACATTAATGTAATAGATATATTAAACACTGTTTTATATAAGGAGGGAACTATTTTACTTTCAAAGTTGTATGATAGTGATATTTATTATATACAGATTTCGACTCTCACCGGGTTTTTTCATCTTTTACACGTGCTTTTCAAACTTCCAGTTTAAACATACACAAGTTTCTAAATTGTTTTTTGTGTGATTTAGACTTATCTTAACCAGCGTGAAGTGTTTTAGAACCATTTACAAGCAGTTTCAGCGTCTGTTTGGTGATGGAAAATATGTTTTTCCAAGAAAATACCGCAAACGACACACACGATTTAAAATTACCGGAGTTTCATTAGACCTTTTCTAACAGTTACAAAAAGTTTTTTTACCTGAAATTTCGTGGGGAGAAGGGGGTGCGGACTATGTACCAGTGCGAACTATACAAGCCCGATTACGGTAATTCCTTTTGTACTCACTTTGATTTTGTACAAGCGCAGGAATGACTTCTTAAATAAAATTGCATGTTCTTTCAAAATTTTACTCAAATGTATACTTTTCCAATCAATAACCTAATAAAGTAATTTATGACTAATCTTAATTAGTTAATCATGTTTATATCTTCTTATATCTATTATAGTGCATTAGGGTTAATCCATTATTTAAATGGATATGAGGGTGTAGGAAGGGACTTTCAATAATGTCCCCCCAACCTTACAACATACTTGAGTAATTTAGGATACATCAAATTAACAGAACACCATAACTGACCCCAAACCAGAAACTTGTTTTAAAAGTACAATTTTTCTAATGCAGGATGTTGACCTGACAGCGATAAAACTCTGAACAGAGATGGAATACTTGAAATCTGTGTACATTTTTTTTTTTCATTATTAAAGCTTTGAAATGAATAAATAAGTTTCTCACATGAGGGCACACACACACACACACTTTACCGTAAACAATGTGGTTTTGTAAATAAAAAAAACTGTTTTATTTAATTTATAGTTTAGATATTGTTATGACAAACTAAATCATTTATTGCTGAATTTTTTGCAATGCAAACCAGTGAAACATGAGAATAGTTGTAAAAGAGAATAAATGACTTTGTATAATTTTTCATTGAAATCTCCAAGTGAGAGCATTTTTACAGTTTTCCAATCAGAGAAAAAAAAGTTTTGTATTTTATATTCTTTCAGCTGTATTATTAAATTCATTGTTTTGTAATTTTCAGAAAGAAAAGTATAACCTTATTGTTGATAAATTTTCAGGTTCAACTGAAATCCAGGATGACATTAGAAAATGTCAAATTGTTAATACATGCCAGCTGGCCATTGGCTTCAAATCAAACCTCAATAGAAATCCCTAGTGTTGGTAAGATTTTAAATACTAAAATTTAAACTACAATACAGCTCACAAGTTCATTAAATAAAAAACATATTAGGGCCAGAATAAATATATGTTTCGTAATGTGATTTAAGGTTTGTGTCATATATGAATTTTGCAGTTTGCTTAAAATGAAAAATTATATATTTTCTGTTCTCAGTTGAAGATTGTTTACCGTCATTCTCTAATATATAGTGTAATGGGATTATAACAAGGGCAGGTCTTGTAAAGATATGAATATAATATGATGAAATCCATTGTCGGTCGTAACTATAACTAATGCCAAATTAATAAGTTTCTCGTTGATGTCTAGGCAAATTGACTTTTAGTTACTGTAAATTCAGAAATTATTGCGTGCATTTATTATTGCGATTTTGTCATTTTAGACTAAAATGCGATTTTAATTTTTGAGATATTGAGATTAAACCTGTTTAATTCATATAAAAAATTTCAAAATGCGAGTTTAAATTATTGCGATTATAACCCTATCGCATTTTTCGCAATAATAAAAACATCGCAATAATTTCTAAATTTACAATATCTATGTATCTGTGGCAAAAAAAATCTAATAGAAAAAATTTAAATCAGTTTAATTAAACTATACATGTACACCGCTAGTGGTCCACATGTATATTATTGCTCAAAACAACTGGTTCACCATGTAGGCATTTTTTTTCATTTCAGATCCAAGTAAACCATCGGAAAGCTTTGTTTCCTTCTTTATTAAAGGAAAAGCATTACATCCAGATTTAGTAGCTTCTGTCACAGCTAACTATACTAGTGCTTCAGGTAAATATCAATAAAAAGAGAAAAGCATTACATCCAGATTTAGTAGCCTCTGTCACAGCTAACTATACTAGTGCTTCAGGTAAATATCAATAAAAAGAGAAAAGCATTACATCCAGATTTAGTAGCCTCTGTCACAGCTAACTATACTAGTGCTTCAGGTAAATATCAATAAAAAGAGAAAGGCATTACATCCAGATTTAGTAGCTTCTGTCACAGCTAACTATACTAGTGCTTCAGGTAAATATCAATAAAAAGAGAAAAGCATTACATCCAGATTTAGTAGCCTCTGTCACAGCTAACTATACTAGTGCTTCAGGTAAATATCAATAAAAAGAGAAAGGCATTACATCCAGATTTAGTAGCTTCTGTCACAGCTAACTATACTAGTGCTTCAGGTAAATATCAATAAAAAGAGAAAAGCATTCCATCCAGATTTAGTAGCTTCTGTCACAGCTAACTATACTAGTGCTTCAGGTAAATATCAATAAAAAGAGGAAAGGCATTACATCCAGATTTAGTAGCCTCTGTCACAGCTAACTATACTAGTGCTTCAGGTAAATATCAATAAAAAGAGAAAAGCATTACATCCAGATTTAGTAGCCTCTGTCACAGCTAACTATACTAGTGCTTCAGGTAAATATCAATAAAAAGAGAAAGGCATTACATCCAGATTTAGTAGCTTCTGTCACAGCTAATTATACTAGTGCTTCAGGTAAATATCAATAAAAAGATAAAGGCATTACATCCAGATTTAGTAGCTTCTGTCACAGCTAACTATACTAGTGCTTCAGGTAAATATCAATAAAAAGAGAAAGGCATTACATCCAGGTTTAGTAGCTTCTGTCACAGCTAACTATACTAGTGCTTCAGGTAAATATCAATAAAAAGAGAAAAGCATTACATCCAGATTTAGTAGCCTCTGTCACAGCTAACTATACTAGTGCTTCAGGTAAATATCAATTAAAAGAGAAATGCATTACATCCAGATTTAGTAGCCTCTGTCACAGCTAACTATACTAGTGCTTCAGGTAAATATCAATAAAAAGAGAAAAGCATTACATCCAGATTTAGTAGCTTCTGTCACAGCTAACTATACTAGTGCTTCAGGTAAATATCAATAAAAAGAGAAAGGCATTACATCCAGATTTAGTAGTCTCTGTCACAGCTAACTATACTAGTGCTTCAGGTAAATATCAATAAAAAGAGAAAAGCATTACATCCAGATTTAGTAGCCTCTGTCAAAGCTAACTATACTAGTGCTTCAGGTAAATATCAGTAAAAAGAGAAAAGCATTACATCCAGATTAAGTAGCCTCTGTCACAGCTAACTATACTAGTGCTTCAGGTAAATATCAGTAAAAAGAGAAAAGCATTACTTACAGATTAAGTAGCCTCTGTCACAGCTAACTATACTAGTGCTTCAGGTAAATATCAATAAAAAGAGAAAGGCATTACATCCAGATTTAGTAGCCTCTGTCACAGCTAATTATACTAGTGCTTCAGGTAAATATCAGTAAAAAGAGAAAAGCATTACATCCAGATTTAGTAGCTTCTGTCACAGCTAACTATACTAGTGCTTCAGGTAAATATCAGTAAAAAGAGAAAAGCATTACATCCAGATTTAGTAGCTTCTGTCACAGCTAACTATACTAGTGCTTCAGGTAAATATCAATAAAAAGAGAAAGGCACTACATCCAGATTTAGTAGCCTCTGTCACAGCTAACTATACTAGTGCTTCAGGTAAATATCAATAAAAAGAGAATGGCATTACATCCAGATTTAGTAGCTTCTGTCACAGCTAACTATACTAGTGCCTTAGGTAAATATCAATAAAAAGAGAAAGGCATTACATCCAGATTTAGTAGTCTCTGTCACAGCTAACTATACTAGTGCTTCAGGTAAATATCAATAAAAAGAGAAAAGCATTACATCCAGATTTAGTAGCCTCTGTCAAAGCTAACTATACTAGTGCTTCAGGTAAATATCAGTAGAAAGAGAAAAGCATTACATCCAGATTTAGTAGCCTCTGTCACAGCTAACTATACTAGTGCTTCAGGTAAATATCAGTAAAAAGAGAAAAGCATTACTTACAGATTTAGTAGCCTCTGTCACAGCTAACTATACTAGTGCTTCAGGTAAATATCAATAAAAAGAGAAAGGCATTACATCCAGATTTAGTAGCCTCTGTCACAGCTAACTATACTAGTGCTTCAGGTAAATATCAGTAAAAAGAGAAAGGCACTACATCCAGATTTAGTAGCCTCTGTCACAGCTAACTATACTAGTGCTTCAGATAAATATCAATAAAAAGAGAAAGGCATTACATCCAGATTTAGTAGCTTCTGTCACAGCTAACTATACTAGTGCCTTAGGTAAATATCAATAAAAGAGAAAGGCATTACATCCAGATTTAGTAGCCTCTGTCACAGCTAACTGTACTAGTGCTTCAGGTAAATATCAATAAAAAGAGAAAAGCATTACATCCAGATTAAGTAGCCTCTGTCACAGCTAATTATACTAGTGCTTCAGGTAAATATCAATAAAAAGAGAAAAGCATTACATCCAGATTTAGTAGCCTCTGTCACAGCTAATTATACTAGTGCTTCAGGTAAATATCAATAAAAAGAGAAAAGCATTACATCCAGATTTAGTAGTCTCTGTCACAACTAACTATACTAGTGCTTCAGGTAAATATCAATAAAAAGAGAAAAGCATTACATCCAGATTTAGTAGTCTCTGTCACAGCTAACTATACTAGTGCTTCAGGTAAATATCAATAAAAAGAGAAAAGCATTACATCCAGATTTAGTAGTCTCTGTCACAGCTAACTATACTAGTGCTTCAGGTAAATATCAATAAAAGGTGATATGCTTTAATAGTTGGCGAGTCTATAGCCTTACAATGAAAGTTCACCAAAGTAAACTATGTTTACATTTTGATTCTCCCTCTTTGGAATTCACTTTGCATTTCATGGACTTTGTGATTGCTTTATCTAAGATCATTTTGTGTATACAACACCTCTCAAACCCCTCTCTAGCATTTATTTTAGGTTTCGTGGAATCTTTTTATAAAGCACCACCATCCTGTTTTGTTTTTTTATCCAAATTATTTTTGGGGTCTCTTAGGAAATCTTGAACTTTGCTAGGGGCGAGGAATATCAATTTGTTAGCTTTGGTCACAGTACATTTAGTTTTACTTTCTTTTCATGTTTTATTTCAGAACTGTTAACAAATTTTATAAGCTTGAAATATTTGCCACCAGACATTAACTAAATGACAATTTATCAATCTGTCACATTGCTGTCAAACTGAAGATTTTAAAATTGGCATTTGCTGCATCTGCACTAAGAATGTGGCATTTAAGAGTAATGAAAAAAATGGTTTACTCTTTGGGATGTTGTGACCTGTCTACTTGTTACCATGTTAACCAGCATATCCAAAATTTGGCTCAGTATTTCAAGCAGGCTTTATAATCACATTAACATCAGTATATGCTTTTAATATTTGCCACTGGCTGTTTAGTTTATCAATTGGCTGCAATATGTTTTGAACATTTTGCTGCAGTATGTTTTGAACCTAACCTAACTGTATTATTTTCCTACTTTACAGGAGCACCACGGGTAGCTACAGCCACAGTGAAGCTACCACTGAAGTTAGTAGTCAAACCAGTATTACCAGTTAAAACAGCTGAGTATAAGATCACATTGGATACAAATAAACCCCCAACAAACCTGAATGATATATTTCCAGGTATGATGAAGCCTTTTTATAATGAATGAAATATTTTGCTGCCTATTAAACAACATAAGTAATAGGGTAGACATATGATAATAGTATCACTATTTGACAAACAGGCAAGGTCATCATCTAAATTAATGACCCAGTCAGCTTTAAATGCCATTAAAAAATAAATTGTTAAAAAAATTGAAATTATTTGCCTAGCATGCAAGTCATGTTTTTTTACACAAAATTTGCCATTTAAATATTTTTTTTACCTTGCCAAAGTTGCCTGTGTTTTCAGGAACATGAAGACAATTTGCTTTATGGTTGTTCAGTTTACAAGCAAATTGTTTATCATCAATCATACAATAAGAAAATTTATTGTTTTCATTTTATTAAATTTAAAAATCATAGTTCCACCTCTGGATGACCATGAAGTGTTTATTTATATTTTCAGTAGTTGAAACTGTGTACTTGAACATGAAATCCCAAGTAAAAGGATTGGAAACTGCCTGAAATCACTTGAAAAAGATTCTGCTCTTGAATTGAACAATTTGTTATCCTTCCTGCCTTGAATGTGGTGATGATGATCATATTACCCTAGAGATAACCAAGTATATTAATTGCTTCTAGTTTGGAAGGTCTGTGATATAAACTTAAACTTTAAAAAATTTATATTTCAGAGCTACTTGGTGAAAATGCTTCAGGCCCAGGAGCTGCGTTAGGATTCCAGTATTATGGAGGACCAATTGTCACAGTCCTTGCCTCAAAAACTTCTCGTAAGTATAAAATTGTCCAAGAGCTGCATTATTATTCTATTATGGAAGATCATTTATAGTTTTCATTCATTTTAGGTTATTTAAAAAATCCAATGTTTAGGCTTATGACACTTTATCAGATACATTTTAAAAGGATGTATTTTTAATGGTATCAATAGTTGTGTTCATTGTATAAAAAATGTGATTTAAGAAAATTTAAAAAATGAACTTTGAGTCTATAGTCTTTTTTTAATCATTTATTGTGCTTTGTGTCGATCTGATTAGTCAAGCCTTTTCCAACTTATATTTACAGACTAAATTACAGTTTGTTCTTATATTGTGCTGTTGCACTATTGTCCCAGGTTAGGGGAGGGTTGGGTGATTGAAACAGCACTTTAATGCACAGATGTTGAGGGATAGACTTCAGACAAAGAATGTGACTTAAACCAGTGCAAGAGTAGTCTTGGACTTGCTCCCTTTTGCTCCAAGTAGAAGGCCTCACTGTGACTTGAAATTATATAATAATGTCTTGTTTTAGGAACATCTGTATCTACATATCAACCACGATTGTACAAGTATTATTATTTAAATAAGTTTTAAAATTTTGAAATTTATATATTTTAGAACGGTACAGATTACAGTGTGACAGGTTTGAAGGCATGTGGCTGATAGTCAAGGAACTCTCTAGTCGTTTAAATAATTATTTTAACAAGGGAAAGACGGGAAGTTTTGCTATATATTATTCCGGCCAGGTGCCGTTACAGGAATACTTTGATTTAGTAGACATTCATTTTGAGGTGAGTTTTGTTTCCTACTTATGAGTCATGACTTATCATGACTAGAGCAAAAAAGCAATTTAAGATAGAAGTAATTAAGACAGGAATATTTTAGAACTGAAATTGTGTTGTATAATTTTTCAATGATCACATGGTTTATTTAATGATTAAACTTTGGATGATAATGTGAACTATTTTTTCAAGTTTTAAAAATAAATCAAGGATACACACAAACAGTTTTTTAGATTGACCTTGACCCAATTTCATGATTTATTGATCAGTATATAGTAGGGATGTCAACCAGTACTCGAGTACTCAAGTATCGCTCGGTAGTACCGAGTATCGTTTGCCAAATTGATACTCGACTAATCGTCTCCTGTTAGAATGTTGTTGCTTTCTTAAGCTTAAACAAAAAAAACATGTTTTTTTAGAGCGCCGCCCGTGAAATTAAATATTAATCAAAATTAATAAAAGTTAAAATACAATTCGAATGTTTGCATTTAAAATTCCTCCTAACAGAGGTAAGATATATAACCAAAAGCACTTTTCCGAGGCTTACACATTTAGCTAATCTTAGTCATTGCCCCACCTCTGTATCGCCAGAGCATATATTTTCATCAGCAGGACTTTAAGTTACCTAAAATTTGAGAAATCGCCTCGTCCCAGAAAAAGTTGACAAGGTAATATTTTTTAAATAAGAACAAATTCATTGACCCTGTGACGACCCTCAGAAAATGATTAAAGGGATTAATAAGTTCTAATCATCACCCCTTTGTTGGTAAATAAATGTGATTTTTTACGGTTCCCAAATACTGTTGTTTGAGTAATCATTTTCTAAAGATATTAATTAATAACTTGATTAGATTATTGCCAGTTTACATTATTAGTACATCTAGTACGTAAATGAGCTATTAATTATGGTATAAAATTCCTTGGACTATTATCTAGTCCTAGGTAATAATATTGAGTGTTTAACATTCATAAGTCAACGACCCACAATACATACAATAGGTATAATTTTGTGTTTCCATTTGGTAAATGATTTACCGAGCGAGTACTCGAGTATCGCTCGGTAAATACAACGTGTAATCGATTAGTAAATCTTCACCGAGTTGACATCCCTAGTATATAGTAGCATGACATTGATCTCAAAGACAATCTATTTTTCATAATCCATTAAGCAGCGAGAAATTTCAGGGTGTCCACTCTTGTGTTGTAATGCTCTATACTGTTATTTCCAGAAATGACTATTTGCTGAAGGTTTTTAAATGGTAAAAATCCTTCCAAATTTATAATTGTTAAATGAAATTTGTCAAGTCTAATTCTTGCATCAGGTTGAACTGGATTTTTGTTTAGATCACTCAAATTGTAAATTGTGATTATTATGATAAATATTTCTTAAATTTGATTTTTCACAAAAATTATAAAAGCGATTTCTTTTCCACAGTTCCGATTAAATGCAGATAGATGTAAAGAATTGCTCTCCCAACGATCAGCACAGTTTAGATCAATACAAAGACGACTTTTAACACGATTTAAGGACAAGACACCAGCTCCACTACAAAATTTAGATACATTATTAGAGGGAACATATAGACAGGTAATAATATTTCTAAAAAGAATTAAAAAACAGGATATTTTCTTTACATGTTGTCAGAATTAATAATTTCTAGAATACTTTACTGAACATTACAGAGTTATCTCTCTTTGAACATTTTTTAATCATTTATACCCATGGTAAGGATAGAAAAAGTTAAAAAGTGGTTGAGGTAATGTTTATATGCTTAAGAATTATAATCTATACCCACAGAATCCAAGAAACATAATACCTTATGATGATAATGATTCCTCTGACAATTTGTATGTTTATTTTTTTTTCAAGATTCAATGAAATCTTTTTAAAGCAAGATTTAAAAAATTTGATTTGAAATAATGTGTCAACATATAATTTTTGCGTTTTTTTTAACTCTGTGTAATTTGGACTTTATATGGTTATTAGAAGAAAAATGTATAGGAGAGTTGCACACCACATAATGTTTTTATTATGGGTAATAGTGGTGGAAGCAAATACAACTCTGTTACAATTGAAAATAGAAATTATGGGCAGTGGGGTAACCAGTGACCTCCGCCCTCCCCCCCTGTAAATTTGAATTAGTTAAATATTACACTGTTACACTGTATACAAGAGTTGCAATTAATTAGGACTATATTACATTGTATTCTACATATTTAATTTGTAAAAATATTACCCTGTATTTCAGATTTTACATTTAGCAGATGCTATAGAGGATAATAAAACTTCACAAGAAATAGCTGCCTGTGGTTTGAGTAGTGGGACCCATTTATTTAACTATATAATCAAATTATGGACCAATATGTCTGATGAAGAATACAAAGTTTTGCTCAATACCATAACACCTGTAGTTACAGACAGCCTTGATAATGTGAGTTTTTATATTTCTTACAGTCAATTCTATAATTTTTTTTTATTTAATATCAAATGAACAGATAAGTTGGTCAAACCAAAAGGCTCTAGAATTGTTATTTGCTGCTTCTAAATTCAGCATGTAGCATTAAAAAGAGTGAGAGCAATGAAAGGTTGGCTTGGAGTTGTGTTTGGGTAGGGTGAACATATACATAAAACAGAAGAAACAAATCAAAATGGGTAGCAACTGTTATTGGTAGGCTGTCTTCCTATGATGTCATCAAACAGTAGTCATTCCTAAGGTTGCCCTACATTGGGCAAAGTCAAGTAAAAATTGGTTTGGTCAATTTAAGTGATATGCATTACTGTAACAAATGACCAGTAAAATTTTTAATTTTTGTCCAAATCATATGTGTAAATGTCCTGTAAAAAATAGTCTGGTCCAGTTAAGAAGAATGGTTTACTGGACCAAATGTCCAGTTGATTTCTCAAAGCCTTGGTAACCATTGAAACAGTGAAATACTGTGGATTCATTTTTGTCGAACTTCGACTTTAGTCGAAAAAGCGAGACATAGCGATCCTACATTCCGTCGGCGGCGGCGTCCACAAATATTCACTCTGTGGTTAAAGTTTTTGAAATTTTAATAACTTTCTTAAACTATCCTGGATTTCTACCAAACTTGGACAGAAGCTTGTTTATGATCATGAGATAGTATCCAGAAGTAAATTTTGTAAAAATAAAATTCCATTTTTTCCGTATTTTACTTATAAATGGACTTAGTTTTTCTGCCGGGAAATATTACATTCACTCTGTGGTTAAAGTTTTTAAAATTTTAATAACTTTCTTAAACTATCCTGAGTTTCTACCAAACTTGGACAGAAGATTGTTTATGATCATAAGATAGTATCCAGAAGTAAATTTTGTAAAAAAAAAAATACATTTTTTCCTAATTTTACTTTTAAATGGACTTAGATTTTCTGCCAGGAAACAACACATTCACTCTGTGGTTAAAGTTTTTAAAATTTGAATAACTTTCTTATACTATTTTGGATTTGTACCAAACTTGGACAGAAGCTTGTTTATGATCAAAAGCTAGTATCTAGAAGGAAATTTTGTAAAAAATAAATCCATTTTTTCCGTATTTTACTTTTAAATGGACTTAGATTTTCTGCCAGGAAACAACACATTCACTCTGTGGTTAAAGTTTTTAAAATTTGAATAACTTTCTTATACTATTTTGGATTTGTACCAAACTTGGACAGAAGCTTGTTTATGATCAAATGCTAGTATCTAGAAGGAAATTTTTGTTTTCTTCCAGTTAACATTACATTCAGTCTGCAGTTAAAGTTTTTAAACATTTATTAGATTCATAAACTATCCTGGATTTTTACCAAACTTGGACAGAAGCTTCTTACAATCAAAAGATAGTATCAAGAGGAATATTTTTATTGATTTACTTCCTCATTTTTGTTGAGCCTGCGATTAACAGAAAAAGTAGGCGAGACACTGGGTTCCGCGGAACCCTTACGATTTTTTTTTTGTGGGTTCCATTTTCGTGGATTGCGTAAAACTTGCCTTTTCATGGATATGTGATTTTGTAGTTTTGCCAAAGTCTGCATATAACCTGATAGAAAATTTGTAATTTGTTTAACGTTTAAATTCGTGGTTCACCTGTACCCACGAAAACCACGAAAATTGGTATCCAACTAATAATAATGAATCAACAGTATGCTTGAGCTTTTATGACTAATTTGTCATCGTGTAACACATGAATATTATTTTAGGGGTGGGTAGAGTCCGTGGATGCTGCAGTGACCCATGTCTTACGGACCACACTGGCTAAGGCTGCTAAGGACCAGACACTGAATCCACAGCCTCTTCAGATGCCAGAGGATACGACTAAAGTTAAGAAACATGTAGCTCTGATGATTGATAAATTAGGAAAGGGTGCTAGATTAGTGGAAGGACTACCAACAAATGCGGCTGGTAAGAATTAGAAAAGATTCAATCATAACTGTAGGAATATAACATCTTTAAGGGGTATTCTATTAAGTTAAATGGAGGAAAGGAAGGGATGTTATATCTTTAGACTGTATTAAGACATAAATGCCTCGTGTAGATAGCTAGCCATGCTCTCTGCATGTTAAGAACCCTTGCAACAACTCTTTGAGGGGTCTGTCGTTGCAAGGTAAAATTCATCTCCATATCCAATTTACCCTCATTTTCCAGTGGCTGTTCAAATTCCCCTAACCTTCTACCCAGATGGCCTCTATTACAGGACCTACCTATTGCATTTGGGGCAATATGCGCAATTGATTTTACATAGGTGGTAATGGTAACGTTTTCTTCTGTAGCTCAGTCCATATCGTAAACTTAGATATGTATGATGGCTCGTTTTGAAGCTGAGACATTTTCACATGTGGTTAAATTTTCGGGGTACAAAGTATGATTCATCACTACACAGATATTTTGTTTACGCACAACTTTTGAGTTCCTCTATTGCTAATTTGTTCTTGTCCTGAACATGCATGAAATATTTGCCACTGGACGTTAAACATACAACAATTAACCAATCAATTATCTCTCATAGTTTTTTTTGTAAACATCTCTCAGATGTTCTTTTGTTTCTATGCCCCAAGTCTGTGCAAGGTGTGCATATCTTTAACAAATACTATTAAATATCTGTCCTTAATCTACAAAAAAAACTTTTGAGATAAACGCAGAACTTCTACTAAAATTCTATCCAGATCTATCCATGTTTTCTTAGCATGAATAAATATATTTGTATTTTTGCAGTTAATATAGCCCCATCTCCAAGAAAAGAAAAGAAAGTATCAGCGACCAGTAAAACAGTCATGGAGAATGGACATATAGACACTAGTGATAATACAGAGACTTTGATTGGTAGTCAGTATGGCATGTCTAAACACAAACGGAAAGAACCAGAAATGTTATCGATGAATGGTGCCTTAGATGATATGCCCATTCTAGGACTTCCTGCTCAAAATAGACCTGAAGTTGATGGTAAGGGTATTTTTTTTTTAACTCTTCTTTTCCAGTTAAGTTTTACTTTCAAATATATGTGCTTTACATTAGGGCTGTTCCAAATTGATTATGCTGAAGGAATGGGAGGCACTCAAATTAATTAATTGTTGGTGGTTGCGTTTTCCTTAGAATTTTGTAAGAATTGTATGTGAAACTAAAATTTTAGGTTATGAGTGGTTGGGGTCTAAAACAAAGTATTGAAATTATAGGGTTGGAAGTTGACATGGCCACAAGTTTCAGGGGAGATAATAACACATTTTTTTTTTTTTTTTTTTTTTTTAAAGAAAAGAATAATGTCGAAAATGAAAATAATTGAATGCTCAGTTTATTTTGGAATGAAATGTCCTATATACTTAATTTGGCCTTTGCTGTTTTTATATAAAATTTCGTGTTTTTCAATGTCCTGAATTTTTTATTGTAAATTTTTTGTTGTCAGATACCCTGGATTCATTTATTTTCATGAGCAGCAATTTTTGTTGGTATTTCATATCCTGGTTTTGCCAAAGTCTGCATACACATGTACTCAGGGCTCACACTACTTCAGAATCATAGGGAGAAGTGACTTCTCGTTTTGAAACTGAGAGGGAGAAGTGGTGAGATTTGAAAGAGAAGTGCTCGTTCGCTCGCGGCACTACAATGTTGAGCAATTTTAATTAATAAATTGAAACAATTCATATACATGGAAATATATACATTAATCAAGTAGATCTAACCAAAAGTATGTTAATGCGCATGGAATGCGTAATTTTTCCTTCTGGGATCAATATTCCTCTGTCAGCTGTGCCATTCATTCTTCAGTAGTTATTATCCTAAGAATCCGGATTTCGGTCATAGCTGGTCCGGTTCTGATCAGTAGTTTAGTACAAATATTTCAATGGCGGACGAAGAAAAATTTACAATTATAAACGATGTTTGACACGCTATTTGGAAAGGAATATGACGTTTTTAATGCAATACATGGATAACAAATTTACTTCAGGCAAATTTCATCATGTTCTAATGAAGTAACAAACTTATTTTGCTGAAAATTAGAATGTTTTGATGTACGCTCTCTAACAAGTACCGGAAGTGATAAAAAATTGTTTTTATGAAATAACATGCAACCAACTTTAAAATCGATGCTTTAACCTCTTTTCTGGAGAAAATAAATCGTTTATGTCTTTGAATTTCTTTACTTTTTACTGAAAAATTGCTGTTTAATTGACTTGGTAAAAATTGAATATTGCGGATGATGAAAGCGACTGAAAGCGAGTATCATAAACAACAGGGCAACTAGATTTCGCTTTTGACTTCAGGCAAAGCAAAGTGATGGCCGGGAAAGCCACTTTGTTGCCCAAGTCGCATGGTATCGTGAGCCCTGGTACTTCATTGAACATGTTAAATTCGAGTTACCCTATATCAACAAATTCCACAAAATTTGGTATCGCACAATTAATAATGCGTCACCAGTGTATAAAACTTTACCAATTGTAACATTTTGACTGAGTGTGGATTGGTATGGAAGGTGATACATGCATAAATGTAGACACTTACCCTGTTGAGCCTCAAGCCTTTTGGAGTACATTGGATTCTCCAATTTTTGTCTCGCGTTGACAGAGTCAAAAAGCGTGACATAGGTATGCTGTTTCCGGCGTCGACGGCAGTGGCGGCAACGGCGGCGGTGGCAACAATGTATTAGTTTGTGATTAGGTCTAGTTCATGGTAAACCACTAGTGGTAGGTCAATAATATTTGGTATGCAGTTGTATTAGCATTGGCACATCTCATTACCATGGAGATTATTTGGCCCCGTCCCCTCAGTCAAGGTCTATTGACATTGAAACTTTTGCTTTGTTATCATGTATTAGTTTGTGATTAGGTCAGTTCAAGGGGAACCGTTAGTGGTAGGTCAATGATAATTGGTATGCAGTTGTATAAGCATTAGCACATCTCATTTCCATGGAGAATATTTGATCCCGCCCCCTCAGTCATGGTCTATTGACTTTGAAACTTTTGCTTAGTTTACATGTATTAGTTTGTGATTAGATCAATTTAAGATGAACCGCTAATGTTAAGTCAATGATATTTTGTACGCAAATGTATTGGCATTTGCAAGTCTAGTTTCCATGGATTATATAGCCCCACCCCCTCATCATGGTTCATTGATTTTGAAACTTTTACATAGTTTACAAGTCCATGTTTGTGTTTAGGTTTGTTGAAAGGGAACGACTTATGATAAGTCTATGGTATTTGGTATGCAGTTGTATTACCATTACCATACAGAATTGGAAAAAGACAAGCATATAACATAAATTGACAACTTATTTGAAGGTTATCTTTCAAAATAACAATGTATCTGCTATATGATGCACCTAGATTAATTTTGTTAGTAATTGATTTAAAATAGGTTAAAATCAAGATCTCTTTTCCTTTCTAGAAATGAATGAGAGAAGAAAAAAGAAGCAGATAGAATCAATGGTGCCAGATTTAGATGATATGGAGTCAGGGGAACCAGTCATGGATAATTGAGATTTATGTAAATTTGTACAGGATAATTAAGATTTTTATAAGTTTTTACAGGATAATTGAGATTTATGTAAGTCTATTCAGAATTTCTATGTCGAGGGAAACCAGTTATAGATACTGAGATTTATGTTAGACTGTACAAAACAATGTCAGTTTCATGTCAACTGCCTAGGGTGGTATCAATGTATGTTCCCCTTGATTGCAGAAGCCTGAAGGTTCTGATTAGTAAAAGTAAGTTCCCTTTGAATTTTGAAAATATTCTGATTTGTCATTCCATAGTTGTGGGACATTAATCATCAGAATTTTAGCTACGAAACATCTCCAGAAATTATTTGATACTTGCACTTTGGAATTACTTTTTGATGTTACTTGAGATACAAAGAAATGGGTGTAACATCAAATTCAGGAACAGTTAAATGATATAAAATTAACTGAAATTTTTGCTGACAAATTTTTTGTGATTAGTAATTATTTTTTCATCTTTTTCAGGTAAAAGTGTTCAAGTGCCAAGTGTAACCGACAAATGTCAAAAGTAACTGTTGATTCCGTCCATTTAGACGTCTTGTCCTGTCCAAATGATGTATTTCTGTCATAATGTTAGAATGTGTGATATTTATTATAAAACAGATCTTAGATGTGAAGAATTTTTAAATTATTATTGAAGCATTTTTAAATGGTTGTGATATTTTGTGTTATAATGTGTACTTCTTTTCTCTTTGTTTTGGAAGATATATATTAGTAGTGAATGAATGTATTGAGTATAATGTAGTATGTTAAACATGGGTGAAAGAATATTTCTTTTAAAATAATAGCGCATAAATTTGTTTTTTAAGTTTCGTTTATGCTTCAATGACATCTATAAATTTGTTAAACTTACAGATATTCTTTTATAGATGCTGAGAAAATTGAGCAAATGAATGAAAAATTTATTTTCTTTCCATGTTAAATTTCATGGTGTTGCATCAGTCCTGAAACCCATAAGATTCTGTCCTCCCAGGTACAGTTTTTCATTGTAAATTATGGATGAAGGTAATAAGGCCACTCTTAACAAATTCTTTGTTTAATGGTGCCTACCCATGCCTTTTGGGGTTGGATAGGTAGGTAGGGATTTTATTTTTTTTTGGGGGGGGGGGCAACAAGGTACATGTTTTAGACAAGGAAATGACGTTAAAGAACAAAAAAAGCTTTTAAAAAAAAAAAATTAACGATTTTGTGTCATAAATTTTTTTGGGTAGGCTGTTTTTTTAGCTTTTTAGGTTTGTAGGTAGGCAACATCAAACATTTTATTTTTGGCCTAAGAAAACGACATTGTAAAATTTTTGGATTAAGGTAATAAGAAAAAGACATTGTAAAATTTATGATGCGTTTCAAAGATATTTCATTTTGATATGAACAATTTTCATTAATATTTCATTCATGAATAACATAAATGATACCAATTTTTCTGCACCAGATGCACATTTTTATAATAAATAAAAATGCTCTGACACTAGTGTAAATCCCATATCCATACATTGCCAGTTCAACCGCAACAGCAATGGCTACCCCCAATAATTATAATAAAGCCTTTCGTGGCAATATAGAATATGTTTGTGTAGGAGACTGTAGATTAGTTTTTTTTCACAGAATTTGAAAAAGAATGCAGTAATTTTCCAAAATTTATTGAAATTTACAGATAAAAAATTTGATCAAGGGATATTCTGATTGGTATTTTTAAAATTTTTATTCTTAGTAAAAGTATAAAGCAAAGAGTTTTCACAAGTATGAAAATATATGTAAGAACTGTATGATGAGTGTATACCATTGTTATTTTTATATCTTGAAACAGTGCTATTAAGTTTGTTATTGAATTAGTAATTTTCTAAGAGGTTGCTTTGTGTACAAAATTTTTATTTGTAAGTGCAGTGGTATGAATGAAAAAATGAAGCTTCTTTGTAGTATATGAGTGAGGACCTTTTTATTTATTTCAATTGGAAGTGGAGGAACTAGTTTTTCATGCTATATATATTAAAAAAATCTGATGATTTTTTTAAAAATATATCATATTGTTATACATTCCATTGTTATGTATATATATTATATGTTTGAAATAATAACAATGTTACTTAGATTTGCATCAACCGTCCTAAATGGCAAACAAGTGTTTCATATGTTTTATGTTGGGGCCTTTTATAGCCGAATATATGATATGGGTTTTCTCATTGTTAAATGCCGTACGGTTGCCTATAATTACTTACATCCACTTTATTTGAACTTTGGTGGATAGTTGTCTCATTGGCAATCCTACCACATCTCCTTATTGTTATAAAGTATATACACTATAAAATATTTTTGAGTTTCAATAACTTTATTTTTAAAAGGAACATGATTTCATTATGGCTTTAATAAAAACAGCACAATATTAAAAGTAAAAATATAACATAATGGAGTTTTCTATCATTTCATTTAAAAAAAAAATTTTTTTGATGTGCATAGCAAAATGTTTTCATCTGACTTTGTTAAAACTCAATTCTGTGTTTGAGATATAAACACAATAGTTAAATATTTGTAAATGTCTTAAGATATCAATTCTCATATGTAGAATTATCTATCATTGATAAAAGTCTTTCTTTTCTACTTTTGTATATAATATATTTTCTTTATTAACATACTTGTTCACTCTGAATATGTTGAACACAGTATTTTCATTTTTATTGTGCCATGTGCCATGTGCTTTTCTTTGCATTGCTTGCTATCTCTCATTTCCAAATAACTTTATGGAAACAGTTTGAAAAAATTATCTTTTAGGGAGGTTACAGATTATCTCCCATTCGGAAATTTTATGTAAAGAGAGATATTTGATACACTTTTTTGGTGTGTGTGTAGATAAAACTGAATATTCATGTTAATGTAGTTATTCAAATATCATTTTGCTCACTTTTCTGCAGTAAATCACTTTTAGTTAATATTGAAGGTCCTTCAACTGACATTAATGTTAATTAAGGTCACAAAGTGTGTTCTTGAAATACAACCAAGAAAAATGCTTTATCAGTTTATGCAAAAAAATTAAAAAATAATTATTAGACAGATCCACCTCACAAAAGTATAGATTTTATAACAGCATTTTCTTGCAAGAAAATTCATAAGTGCTTGTTTATATGTTTTATGAAATTTCATTTAACTTTTCATGCCAGTTGGTATTGAGGTTGGTCGAACCAAGAGCATGACTACATTTATTATTTAATAGAAACTTTAGAACAGTTCATCTTTTTGACTTTAGTGAGAGTGAGTCAGGCAGGCATGTGGTAACAAACTATCTGGTCCTGGTGGTGGAGGCCTAAAATAACAACATCAACTTAGATTTATTAAACTTCTAAAGTTTGTCTTTATGCTTTATCTGACCTGGAATGAGTTTACTTAAAATTCTGTCATTGAAAATTTTGCTCTTAATTGACTGTTGGAGATGAAAAATAAATAAAATGATTCCTGGTCTCGCAACATGCTAGAAAAAATCAGACAAATAATTGATATTTCAGACAAAAAAGATATGAAAGAAATAAGATGCAATGAAATTTCTCAGAAAACATGAATATATCTTCTTTCTTAGAAATTGAGCATCTCCATGATGAAGTAAATTTTGAAAAGCACTTTTTTCGCTAAAAGTCACTGATGTCACTGAATTGCTGTCTCATTAATATATATATCATATATTTCCTATTATTCATTTTCAACAGTACAACCAGAAAACAACATGTATATCTAGTCATGTTCTGGCAATGTTTCTTTGCATGATAGTAGCCAACACAAAGGAATGTCTCTACAAGACTAACCAGTATGTGTAAAGAAAATATATATGATCAAAATCCTTTTACATTTACCTTGTAATGTAGCTGATTTGAAGGTTAGGGTCTCCGTTATATTAAAATCTACCTCTCTGCCCATAATTTTTATTTAATTCTAACCCTTCATTTACAAATATCTTGCTAATGAAAAATATACAACCCTTTGGTAATTTTCTAACAACTTAAAGGACAAAGGTGTAATGAATTTTGAAAAATTATGACAAAAGCGTATAATCCCAGTTTATATTGTCAGACAGCTGGTCAGTTTAAGATATCTTCTATCAAAATATTGTCATTCAAACAGAATGTTGTTATGCTAAATTTTGATAAAAGCTTACACATTTAAGCAATTTTATTTTGTCAGGTTACATTTTTGTCAATAGCTTTTGATACGATTTAGATGGAAATGACCAGTTGACAGAATTGACAAGCTTAGTAAAATAAACTTCACTTCACAAGACTGCAGTAAGAATAAAATTCAATTCATCATTCATTCTTTTTGCTGAGATTGCTTTCATTGGTGTTTTGAATAAAGTGTGTTATCCAAAAAATAAAATTTGAATGTAAACTTGTACTTTATATAATCAAAATAAAATATGTACAGATTTCATATTTCTTCAATGAAATATCCACAAACAAAAGAAGTTTCTCTTTCATTGAACATGTTTCCAGTGCATATAAGAGTTCTTTAATTCTATAGGACAATAACAATCGTAAATAATTTTTTTTGTGTATAATAAAATTCTGTGCTTCATAATCTTTCTTCAAGAGTTGCAAATTGAAATGCTTAACAAATGGTTTTTATTCATAATTGAAAGAGAATTCTTACATCTTTGATTAGAACGTCAAAATAACTGCTTCACCAGAAACATTTGCAAGGGAATACATTCTTACACTCTAGAGATACCTCTCTACAGCAGAAGACATGGTCAATTTACAGTCAGTCAATATTCACTCCCTATGTATCGTTTCTTTACATCAATGCATTAATCACTGGCTTTGTGGTAAAATCATAAAATAAAATGAATTCTTTGTAAAATATGGTGTTGTTGCTTTTTTCTTTAAATTACACAAATTCTTCAAACAGGGGAACAGAACATACACAATTCAACATTTGCTGTCAGGTACAGGACAGGGTTTCAATTTTTATGCAGGCATTTTTACAAATTATCAAGTGAAACTAGTTTTGTAATAGAGTATTATGCTGTTACTAATCACAATCAATTATCAATACTTGTTTATTTCCAGCGTGATGTCCATTTGCTATATACAGTTAGGTATAATTCTTGTTGAAGGCAACTCCATACGGTTCATTCAATCCATCTCCCTTCTTCAGTAGGACGTCAATAAGCTTTCCGTCCTTTGACAGACGATGTAACTTGTGTGTACCCCACGTTGTTACATACAGATTCTCTTTACCATCCAATGACATGTCTACCGGTCCATCAAAATTAGGAGATTCATATGAAACATAACAGTTCCATTTATATCAATGCAATGGAGTGAATCATTATCTGATTCACAGCAATAGATCATATCCATCTTATTTATCTTCAGTGAAAGCAAATAATCACTTCCAACATTGAAAGATTTCTGGAGAATGCCAGTCATACTGAGGAAATACACTTTTCCTTTCCCACCTAATACTATCATGTCCTTAATAACACTTACCCCATAGGACTTCTTGGGAACTTTTATTACATTACCTGGTACCATGCTGGTTATGTTAACAAACTGAATTGATTTTTTAGATGGTAATGTAACAACTGCTTCATTTGTTCCTTGTATCATGGCTAATCCCCATGCGTTATCACCAAGGGCACATTCATGAATATGATCTCCCGTCTCTGACCATATCGACAAGGCTTTACTCTTGTCTCCCGAATAACAACAGTAGCCTATTATCATTCATTACAACGATGCTAGCTATTCTCCCGTTAGAATAAGGTACTTTGAATTCATTTTTTAGTTTTAATTTTGTTGGCATTTTCTCATATTCTGGTGGTATCTGAGCGTGTGCGTGTTAAGAGGGTTTGTGTGCAATTGAACATGAAACAGATTTTATTTCCACCGATCCAAGAGAATTAAGTGATGACTTTATTTCTGATGCCTTGAAGTTAACATCAATACATTCGTATGACGGGACCAAATTTTGAAAGTCGTTCTCTTGCTTTGAAATATCCACTCTGATAGTATTCAACAGCATCAATATTTGG